GCACAAAGCAGAAAGAGGCCTAAATAAGCTGCACGTGGAGACAGCTGTGAAGGCTGCGCACTGCACAGGAGCACCCTGTGCACCAAGCACTAGAGGAAGGGCTTCCCTTTCTGATTGGCACAGAGGTACTATCTGCTTCACCAACAAGCCACTGTGCCTCCTTCTCATTCATGTAATTCCTCAGTCCGCTGGAAGAGCCCTAGCCACAGGCCTTGGCTAAGACCCCTCTCCTAGGCACTCGTGACACCTGCCTTCCTTGTAGGGCTCTTGCCCAGGCGACCAGGACTACGGTCTACGTTGTGAACATTCAGGACGTGGAGTCTACTGCTCGGTGAGTGCTAATGGGCCCATCACGGTTGGGCTGAGGAAAGAAATAGCCAGAGAGGCTTGCAGAAGGCTCTGGACTGCCAGTTCTTCTCCTCCGACCCATTCCAGGGCTCGAGCCCAGTCTTATCTTGATGCCTACTTTGTCTTCTCCAATGGGTCCGCCCTCACACTGAGTGAGCTGAGCCTGTGAGTGGGGCTGTCCCTGGGGGTGGGCGGAAGGCGAGCAGGGGGCCCGGGAGGTGCGCGTGGCTCTTGGGTCTGAGTGGGCTCTCTGGCCAGGATGATCCGGAAGGACCAGGATACACTGACACAGCTGCTGCGGCTGGGGCTGGTGGTGCTGGTGAGTGGGGCAGGGCAGAGGGCGCACAGGGAGCAGGAGGGGGTGGACTCCACAGCCTCCGTCATCCCTCTTCTTCTCCAGGGCTCCCAGGAGAGCCAGGAGGAAGACCAGGGCAAACTGTTCATCAGTGTCATCATAGGACTGGGAGTGGCTTTGCTGTTGGTCCTGGCGATCATGATCATGGCCCTTGTGTGTATGCGGAAGAGGTGCTGCTCCAATGCCCCTCCACGTCCCCAACCTTCCCCCTGCCCCACCTCCCAAGACGGTCAAGGGTGGGAATGGAAAGAGCTTGGGTCTGGGCGTCAGGTATGCGTGTATTCAAGCCCCACTGACGTGTGGGGAGATCTGGGGTGAGTCACTTCTGCCCGAGCCTCAGGCTTCTCCTCTGCAGAAGGAGCATGACGCTAGAGTTCTTGATGCACCCAAGGTTGTGAAGTGTATCTCATACAAGGTGCCCGGCACCTCCAATGCGGTTAATAAGTGCCAAGGCCTTGCCCCTTCTAGTAGACACAACCGCAGCCGCATTCAGGCCTTGCCTCGGGCAGGCCGTGTGCCCTTCAGCTTCTAGCTATTCTTTCTGCCCCCTGTAAGATGGAGCCAAGGCTCTCACCAGCCAGGATCATCGTGAGGCCACATCTCAGGGCCTCTGGGGGGCACTCAGTGGGTGCTTACCTGGCAAAGCATGACTCCCCTCCTGGTTCCCTCCAGCTACCACCGGAAGCTTCGGGCTATGAAGGCTGCCAAGGAGGCCCGGAAGACAGCAGCAGGGGTGCTGCCCTCAGGGTCTGCCATCCCCGGGACCAACATGTACAACACTGAGCGGTGAGCAGGGGTACAGGGGTGAGCAAGGGACCCCGTGAGGTGGCCAAGGCCATGGCCGCTTGACCTGACCCTCTCTCCAGGGCCAACCCCATGCTGAACCTGCCCACCAAAGACTTGGGCCTCGAGTACCTCACTTCCTCCAGTGACTTGGACTATGTCAGGTGAGCAGCACCTCTCACGGCCAGAATGGTTATTGGTGACGGTGCCGATCACGGTGATGGGGCCGGTGATGGTGGTAATGGTGACTGTTGTGATGGTGGCGGTGACTGGTGATGGAGATGATGGTGATCGCCATAACAGTGGTGGTGGTGTAATAGAGGTGGGGATGGTGATGGTGGTGGTGGTGGCCATAGTGGTGGTGGTGACGGCAGTGGAGACAGTGGTGGTGGAGGCCACAGATAGGAAGGACTGGGTTTGCCAACAATCCTGAGCTCCATCCCTGTTTCCCCCTAGCCTCAATTCCCTGGATGACAACTCTGTGGACCTGGACGGGAACAATCAGAAAATCAAGGCAAGATCTGGGATGAGCTGGTACCCGGGGCTTCTGACGTGGGAGAAGGGGTGGTTCTTTGAAGGGGTGGTTTCAGGAAAGGGGTGGGCGGAACCTGCTGCTGGCCTGGGCAGTCTAACTCCTCTGCACCAGGCCTTGGGAAGCCCCATGGCTTTGGAATGAGGTCCAATCCCTGTCTAATCCCTGTTGTCATGTGACCCTGGATAGATGACTTCCTGGCTCTGGTTCTCACTTTCCTCATCTGTAAACGGGGAGCAAAACAGCAACTGTCGTGAGGATTAAATAAGAGCAGCCATAAAAAATACTTGGTCCTAAAACAAGTGCTCGGAAGTCTAGTTCCATCCTGTTCTAGCCTTTACATGAAAGCTGATGGGGTGAGGAAGGATGTGGAGATGAATACACATGGTCTAACCAAGGAGAGGCAGGCCCAATACACGGCAGTGCCATCACTTGTTAAGTGGATTAATTGGTTAAGCGTTTACAGCCTGGGTTTGTGGGGAGCTTTAAAATTATGGGTGCCAGGTCTCAAGGAGAGATCCTGATTTTGGTGGCCCAGGGTGGAGCCTGGGCATGGGTGTGTGTCAAAGCTTCCCCAGGGGATTCTAAGGTACAGGCAGGATTGTGAACCCCAGGAGCCGGTCAGTAGGCTGGGGAGGAGGATCCAGAAACGAAAAGAACTACTCCTTCTCTTCCCCCGGAATAGAAATTCTCCTATTTGAGTTGTAATGGTGTGAGGTTGTGGATGCGGGTAGAGGTGTCCATTCACCATCTGCCCACAGCCAGGCCCCCTGAGATCCTGAGCTCAGCCTGGTTGCTGTCTGTAAGAGCGCCAGCCTGCCCTCACTCCTCAGTCCCCGTGTTCCCTCGAGGACTCCTTGCTTGGAAACACTTGGTTAACCAAAGTGTCTTTTGGACTTTAAAATGCCAGAATGCTGCACAGGGACCCAGGCATGTCACTCACAGTGCTGAGAATCTGGCATAGAGGCGTCCAGATAGGTCCCTGAGGTGGGGGCATTGGTTGGCAATCCAGGCAACCTCTGGGCATAGCTCATCTCTGAAGACAGTTTGAGGCAAAAATTCCAGTGAACATGTCCAAGGGGACGAGAAACAAGGGAATGATCTTGCCTATTGGTGTTAGGCACCCCTCTCCCCCAGAGGAGGCCAAGGCTGACCCCTGGAGGAGAGTAGAGTCAGGGGACCAGGAGGCGGGGCTGGGCTCATGGGAGAGTCTAGAGCCGGGAGGGGACGAGTTCACAGAGACTTCGAAGCTAAAGAGCTCCAGGGAAGGCAGGAGCTTGCTGTGTTTCTGAGAAGCTGCCCAACGCCTCATTCCTGCCCTGAGCAATGGATGGCCTTGGGGGTCTCTGGCAGACCCAGGAGGCCACAGAGGCTTCTTAGGAGCCATTGTTCCTTCGCTTCCTTGGCTGGGTGGGGATTCAGGCGGGGGGTCTTTTCCATCAATCTTGTGACTGATGCGTGACTTTCCCAAGAACTCCAAAAATGGGCAGATAGACAGTGTGTGTGACCTGAGAGGTCGTCCATCCTGTCTTTCCAGGTTACCAATATGGAAACTGACATTCAGAGAGGGCTGCTGACTCTCTCAAGGTCAGACAGCTTGCAGGGTAGGAGCACACTAGAACTCAGGTCTCTGATCTAAGGGGCTAGGTGACATTATCCTGGGTAGCACTGCTCCTCTGCTCAGGGTCTGTGGAGCTTAGCCCTTCTGGGGCCCCACAGATGTTCCACTGTTCACTAGAGACTGGAGTAGTTCCTAATTTGGCAAAAGCCCTTGGAGTGTCCTGGGTAGGGTAGAGATGGCAGCAGAGGATTGAGCCTGGGGACCTGGTCCTCCCACAGTAGGGTGTATGTGTGAGGAGGCACATGTGACTGGCTGGATGTGCAAGTGTGCACTGTGTCACATGGGGAGGGGAAAGAGGAAGGGCAGGAGTGGAGTGTGTGTGCCATGATGAACTACAGGTGGGACCTGGGTGTGATATGTCCCTGAGGGTGGCAGGAGATGCTTGATTCATCCAAGGACATGCTTTAGATCTACAAAGACCAGTGATCCAAAGCTTTCTCTGTCACTTCCTGCCCAGGAGGGTCTGCTGAGCTTCAGTTCCCACATCATAATATGGGGGATATAAACCCTCCCTCAAGGGGTTTTTGTGGGCATTTCAGGTAGTGGGTGAACTTTGCTTAACATGGTGTCTGTTGAGGGGTGCAGGTGGCAGGAACCAAGATGGATTGACTCCTTGGCACAGGATGCATTTTTTAGGACTGGACATTTTTCAGGACTGGGCAGAACCCCAGAATGCTGCTCTGTTGGTGGGGCAAAGGGCAGAAAAGAACTCACCCTGGCCCACCACCCGCTCCAGCCCATCTGCATGTACCACCCCTGGTCGCGGCCAACTCTGAAACATACCTAGGAGATTGAGGCCCCAAGAGGAGTTGGGGGTTTCCAGTCCCATTCTGTCCCAAACAAATGAAAGCCCCCCCCCCCTTTTTTTTAGCTCTCAGAAATAAATGGATCTCTACTAAACACAGAGGTTATGCCAATAAAAAGGTATTTTTCAAAGATTAGATGACATTAGATATCTTAACTACATCTTGTGGGGGCAACCTCAGCTGAGGAGCCATGTGGTCATGGGCATGAAGGCCCATGTTCCTCCCGAGGGCCTGTAATCACCCTGTCATCTCACCTTCCCTTCCTCTTCCCTCAGAAGGAGCCTCAGCACAATCCACCGGAGAAGGATCCAGAGCCCCTAAGTGTGGTGCTGTCAGGAAGGCAGGTGGACACAAGTGGAGAGCAACAGGGAATGTCCTTCACCAACCCTGGCCTGGACACCACAGAGCTGTGATGGAGGCCCTACTCCCCTGGCCCTCTTGGGAAGAGGCCTCTTGACAGCCTAACAACACCTCCCCCACCCTGGATATAATAATATATGATGTTGCTTTGCCTCTTATTTCAGTCAATCACAGCAGACAAGGGTTGGGGAGAGATTTTATTACCAACGTATACTGTGACAGTTTGTAGCCAAAAACTGAGGCTGGAGGGGTGGGGACGAGGGCACTGAGTGGTCACAAGGGACTTGTGGGGGCTCACAGCACAGGGGTGACAAGGGACTGAAGAGGGTGGCCTTTAAAGGTGAACTGTGGTTATAGAATGAACTCTTCACCCTGTCCCCAATACCCAAGAACAGCTACCACCTAGGCAGCTGTGGCCCAAGACCTTTCATGAGCCTGACTGTGACCTTCTGTCCTGTTTGAGACCCTCTCACTTTTCTGCAACTCTCCCTCTCATCTGAGTCCCCAGTGCCCTTCCTGGCCTTTGGCCTCTCTGGGAATTGTGAACCAGTGACCTGGTGGGAAAGGAGCTAAAGGTTGGGGGATGGGGGAGACTGGAGATGGGGAGGGACCACCAACAGCATGCAAGAGATGCCCCAGCCTTGGGGGTCAGCACATGCCCACTCGTTCAGAAACCTCCTCCAGGGTCTCACATTCAGAGTCCAGCACGCTTAGGGGTGGGGGTCTCACACACCGATCCTTGCACACACGGAGGGCCACTTAAAAGATTTGCATGCAGTCTTTCCCAGTTCTGGGAATCTGGTCCCACTGGAGACCTCAACATACCTAATCTGGCCATCTCAGGAGCTTGCCTTAGCTCTCAGGGGGCCGGAGGTATGGGTGCTGAGCAGGTCCCCTTGCTAGCCCAGTGTGACCAGGAGGGAACGCAGCTGAGGGCAAGATGGGAGGCAGGGTCTGTGGTCTCAAGGCCACGAGGGAACTAAGTAAAGGGGTTTCATTTGTGTGTTTCGGACAGAATGGGGCTGGGAAGAAGGGGATGAGAAGCCCCTAGAGGCTGCCCACCCCTCAGAGGGCTGTCGCACGCCGAGGGGACACCTTCTAGGGGTCTGGGGGTCAAGAAAGTAGCCTGAGAAGGTCGAAAACCCGGGCGTACAAAACAGGGGCAGCTCACTCAGCCGTGGGTCCTGCCCGCGAGCAGCACCGCGGCCGGCGCACACTCTGCAGCAGCGCGCGGAAGAGGCCAGGCGGGCGTTTGGCTGCGCCATCAGCGGCTGCGGCGCGCACCGAGCCTGCTCGGCCCGGGCCTGCGCGCGCGGCGGGCGGCGGCGCGGGCGCCCCTTGGCGGCCGTGCTCCTCGATTTGTCGCTCCAAATGCTTCTGGATGGCCATGCCCAGCACCTCCACCTCCATAGCGGCGCCGTACACCTCCCACGTCATTCCCTTCTCGTCCCAGCTCACGTCGCGCACTGGTTCTGCCGCCTCTTGGGGAGCCATGGCGGCCGCCAGTGCCGAGCCGGGCCGTACCCGCACTTCGGGGAAGGCAGGGGGCGCGGCAGGGGGAGCGGCGGTCTGAGGCGTCATGGGCCCAGTGGCCACGGAGCGCGTCTCGGCGGCGCCCATCGACACCTGCAGGCCTGCGTCCCGGCGCGAGGGAGGCCTGGGCGTGGGGCTGGGCGCGCGAGGCGCTGCCTGGAAGCTGAAAGCCGGGCCGCCTGCGCCGTCCTGCGGAGACATGGGACTCACGGCCACCGAGACGCAGGCCTGCGCCCCTGCCTGTGTGCCTGCGTCCTCGCGCGGCGGCGGTGGCGGGGCGCTTGCGTCCCACGACGGCGCTTTGGTGAAGTTGTCGCGAGTCCGTGGTCCCGGCTGGGGCGCTGCGGCCTCCGCATGGGGGCTTTTTTCGGCCTCAGTGGCCACCAGGTCTTTCTGGCAGAGGCTGGGGGTCTTAGCGCTGGGGGCGGGCTCTGGCTCCACACCGCTCTCCAAGCTCCCGGGACCACCGCGGGGAGATGGGGCTGAACTGCAGGGTTTGCCATCTGATTGCCTGGAAGAGGAGGACTCGGTCTTCTTCGGAATGGAAAACCCCTTTCCAGAGGATGGGGACTCTGCTTTTCTTGGAGATGCAGAGTCGGCCTGGGACACAGGCTCCACGTTCCCAGACACAATGGGATCTGTTTTTCCTGAGGATCCCGGATCTACTTTCTCAGAGGTCTGTGGCTGCTCCTTTTGCAAAAACAACCCCTCTGCTTTTCCTGATGATGTGGCACACTCTTGCCCAGGGAGCTTTGCTTCTGCCTTGCCCCCAGACTTGGGCTCAACTTTCCCCAAGGCCTTGGTTTCCTTCTTTGTGGAGTTCACAGGATTCCCCTTCTCCGGGGACGGAGGATCCACCTTTCCCTCTGGGATGGCTTCCGCTTTACCACAGTCCATGGGATCTGCTTTCCCAGGGGACACCAGACCTGTTTTGTTATAAGTCATGGGGGACTTTCCTAAAGACATGGAGTCCACTTCTCTAGAGGGGGCAGTTTCTGTCTTTCCCCTGCTCACAGGGTCCACATTGCCTAAAACCAGGGGATCAGCTTTCCTTGAGACTGTAGGACCTGCCTTCTCCAAGGACCATGAATCTCCCTTTTCCTCAGTCACTGCCTCAGCTTTTACTGCAGATGGAGGAACCCCTGTTTCCAAAGACCTGGGGTCCCCTGGACCTGAGGACTCAGGGTCTGTCTTGCCTGAAGATTCAGGATTCACTTTTCCAGAAGATGGTATTTTTGTGTTTCTCTCAGTTGTGGGATCCACCCCTCTGGAAGACACCAGGTCTTCTTTTCCTAAAGATACAGTTACTGTCTTTCCCATAGACACATGTTCTGCCTGCCCAGAAGACAAGGGCTCTGGCTTTCCTGAGGACATGGGATCCACCTTTTCCAAGGAAACTGGATCCATCTTGCCTAGAGACACAGGAACAGTACTTTTCACAGATGTGGGATCTATCTTTCCCGAAAACATGGGATCCACTGGGCCAGCAGACACTGTTTTTGTCATTTTCACAGACACAGGATGCCCCTCCCCTGAAGAGGTAGGGTCTGTCTTTGCCAGGAACTGAGGGTCCTCTTTTGCCAAGGACACCATTTCTGCATTTTCCACAGATGCAGGATCTGCCATCCCTGAGCATGTAGGATCCACCCTTCCCAAGGACCCAGGAGTCCCTATTCCAGAGAATACAGGCTCAGTCTTGCCTGATAACCCTGGGGTCAGCTTTCCCAAGAGCCCAGGATCTGACTTTTCTGTGGGTGTGGGATCCGTGCTTCTCAAGGATACATGATTCAGCCTGCCTGAGGGCCCAGGATCTATCTTTTCTGTGGATGCAGAGCCCACCTTTTCTGAGGACACAAGGTGCTCTTTTCTATGACACTCAGGCTCCTCCTTTTTGGGGAACATGGGATCCACTTTGCCTGAGGAAACAGGATCCACCTTTCTCAAAGACCCAGGATCCTCCTTTGGGGACACTGTGTCAACCTTGCTGGAGCACATAGGATCTACTTTTCCCAAGGATTCAAGATCCTCCTTTCTTGGAGTCGTGTAATCCATCCTTCCAGGAGGCACAGGATCCCCCTTTCCAGAGGCTGCAGATTCTGCCTTTCCTGTCAACACAGGCTCTGCCTTTCTTGTGGAACCAGCATCTTTCTTTCCTATGGACCCCAAATCTGCCTGCTTTGAAGAATTGAAATCTCTCTTCTCCAGGATCACAGGATTTCTGTTCTCTGAGGATGTGGGATCAGTTTTCAGTGAGGACACAATCTCTGGCTTCCTAGACAAAGTGGTTTCTGGTGTCCCTGAGATCAAGGCTCCATGTATCCCCAATGTCTCCTTGGTGGCTTCCTCTTGGGAAGGGATGCAGGTGGCAGAGGGGCAGGCTAAGTTCCCAGTGGGGTCCTCAGAGCAGGAGGCCCCTTCCCCAGCTCCCCTGGGGCTGCTGTGTCTGGAGTCCATGCCTGGGGTTTGGTCAGGGGTGTGCCTGAGGCATGCAGGACTGGCCTTTTGCTGGGAGGGGCAGCAATCCCTCATGGCCGGGCCCCCAGCACCCAGGCTCCCATCCTGTGGGCAGCAGAAGGGACTGTGGGGGCTGGAGTCTGTCGGAAGCAGCTGGAACCAGGCTGGGTCTTCAGCACTGCCCATCTGCCCTCATAGCCATGCTTGAATGCAGGCTGCTGTCTGGTTCTGAAACAGAGAGAGAGCAGACTCAGACTTAGGGGACAGCATCCATCCAAGCCCCTCCTGCTCACCTTCTTCCTAGCAGCCCAGCTCTTCACAGGGTTCTTTGTCCCTGTCTGGCCCCCTCCTCTTCACAGGGCCTGGGCTAAAAGCATAGGCCCAACCATGTCACTCTCCTGCTTCATCACACCCAGTGGTCCTCTGGATAGGACTTCTTAAAATGGCATTCAAGGCCCTTCACAATTTGGCCACAGCCTGACCTTTCAGTTTCTCCTAATGTCTTCCCACCATGGTCATGCCCACCTCATGCAACCCAGAGGCTATATATTTGTTCTGTAGGCCACAGCTACAAACTCTGAGGCCATAGGGGTCATTTGAGTGAGGGAAGCAAGTTGGGTATGAAACAAGAGGGAGTGGTGGGGACTGTGGCCAAGAGATCATGCCCTGTCTGAAGGGAAAGCCACTACTCTCTGAACCAAGTGCTGTCCTGGAGAAATGAAACCGTAGCACTAGTTCTTCCAGTGTCTTAAGAGAAGTGTGAAAAAACAGACTTTTATGTAAAATATGCTAATTAATTCAGGATTTAAATAAAAACCCAAAACACTATGTGGGCCAAAGAAAACATGTCTGTAGGCCACCGGTTTATGTCTATGTAGGCCCTGCGGAGCTGTGAATGGTTTATAGTCAAGGAAGGGACACAGTCAGATGTGTATGTTTTCAAAGATTCCTCTGGAATGGCGTGGAGGCTGCACTGAAGGAGGAGAGGGACTGGACAGTATCTGTGAGGAGGTCCGTCCTCCACTCATTCCGTCTTTCACTTGAGTGACCCTTAGTTCATTTGTGCCGTCCCTTCTCAGCAACAGACCCTGAGCAGCTGCAATCGTTTTTTGTTGTTTGTTTTTTTTCTGGTACTAGGGATTGACCCAGAGCTGTTTACCACTGAGCCACCTCTCCAGCCCTATAGCAGGTGGTGGCCAGGGTGGCCCACAGGACATTTGTTAGTGTGGTGCTGGGCAGTGACGCTGGGTAGGAGATCTGGGGAAAGAGGGAACTCCGTCTGGATGAGCTGTTTGTGATAGTTGGGGGACATTCAAGAAGAGGGTTTGGCAGGCAACTGGAGCTGTGACCGACTTTGTCCCATTACACACTAGCAGCTAGAGTGAGCAGGGCGCATGATTCCCCCCAAAACCTGCTCCAAAACTATCTCCCTAGTGCTCAGGCCAGAATCCTTGACGTTCATACCCCATGTCCTATTTTATTTATTTATTTTTGGTACTGGGGATTGAACTCAGGGGTACTCAACCACTGAGCCACATCCCCAACCCTTTTTATCTTTTATTTTGAGACAGGGTCTTACTAAGTTGCTTATTTAGGGTCTTGCTAAGTTGCTGAGACTGGCTTTGAACTAGTGATCCTCCTGCCTCAGCCTCCCAAGTGGCCGGGATTACAGGCATGCGACATGGCACCTGGCCCCCATGTCCTGTTCATCCAGTTTGATCTACTTTCAAGATACATACAGAATCCCAACACTGCCCTAGGCTAAACCCTCACCATCTCTCATCTGGACGACCCTGGCTTTCCTCCTTCTCCCATCCAGTTTATTCTCAACACAGCTGCCAGAGAAGTCAGTAAAACCCAAGGAAGATCATGTCCTTCTGTTCAGAACCAAGCAGTATCTACTTCTCGTGCCAAATAGAAGCAAACTCTCAATAGCTCTTAAGACCCGACATTTTCTGGCTCCATTAACACTTTTGGCCATTTCTCCTACCATTCTCCCTTTTTCGTAGTGCTGTTTCAAGCCCACTGGCTCCCTCACTGCCCCCTGAACACTCTGAACACCCTCCTCCCCAGCCTCAGGGCCCTTGCACTGAAGGTCCTTTGTCTAATGGTCCACTCCCTGAGGCCTTTCCTGGCCCATACTGTATAACACAGCCTCCTCCCCAACCCTGGCTGGCGTTCTCCATCTACCTAGTGCCCCTGAGTTTTTCTCCATGGTACGTGTCATCTGACGTATCACATATATTATTTATTGTTTATGGTGTGTTCCTCTTATTAGAATGCCAGCCCCAGGAGGGTGGGGACTTTGCTGTGCTCAATGATAGATCCCAGAGTCAAGAGCAATGAGTGGCAAGCTCCTCATAAAAGTTACATGAATGACTGATTTTGCTGAGATTTAGATCTAACCGTGCTATTTCTGGCTCAAAATGCTTCCTTTTTTTTTTTTTTTGGTACCGGGAATTGAACTCAGGGGTGTTTAACCACTGAGCCACATCCCCAGCCCTTTTTTATATTTTATTTGAGACAGGGTCTTGATAAATTGCTGAGGCTGGCTTTGAACTCACGATCCTCCTGCCTCAGCCTCCCAGGTCACTGGGATGACAGGTGTGCTCCACCACATCCTGCTTCTTCTGGTTCTTGATGGGAAGTTAAGTTGGTTATCATCTTTTTTGAAGGACATTTGTCAACTTCTGTCAAAGTTTACAATGTACATAGAATTTGAGCCATCAACCCACCTGTAGGGATGGTCCTGAAGATAGGCTAGAAGATAGACTAATGTGCACTGGGGGCCTGAGCATATGGCTGGCGGTGGAGGAAAACCAGGAAGCAATTCTATGACAAGTGGGACAAACTCAGGGAACACCATGCAGCTACCAGAATATACGTGGGGTGTTGAGGAAAGATGCCACGATAATGTAAAAGAATAAAGACCTAGGGACAGCATAGTTTCTAGACTCTCATGTGTTTAGCCAAGGAAAAGGGCAGACACGTTTCTGGAAGGAATTCCATAAAGCTTTTTAGTGGTGATGGCCTCTTGGAAATGAGAACGGGATGCAACCCCCTGCTGGGGTCCCCTCTTGCCTCTCCAAGAGTTCTGTTTTTGTTCTTCAGGTGCAAACAAATCCTATTCCTTTTACTATTGGAAAAAAAAAAGGAGATGACCTTTGTTGTGTTGTACACCCCTTTGAGATTGAATCTGGATCACATGTGCTCACAGCACAGGCACACATTGCTAAACAACAGGGATGTGTTCTGAGAAATGCATTGTTGATGATTTGGTCATTGTGTGAATATTACAGAGTATACTCCATGCGGCCTCTTGATGCAATTAAGAGACACAGTACACTCTAGGTGTATGAAGCTGCTCCTGGTGAAGCATGGCCTACTGTTTCACAGCCAACTTTTGTTTTTTTATAAGCAGAAGGAGCACACTCTAATGATAAAAAATATAGTACAGTAAATACATAAACCAATACCATAGTTGTTTATTATCATAATCAAATATGCACTGTACATGATTATATGTGCTATAATTTTATTCAACTGTCAGCGCAGGTTTATTTACACCAACATCACCACAAATGTGTGCTAAGATGTGATGTCGGACACAATGTCACTAGGCAAAAGGAATTTTCTGGCTTCATCATAATCTTATGGGACCACTGCTGTGTATGTGGTCTGTTGTTGACCAGAATGCCGTTATGTGGTAAATGACTGTACCATTTTTAAAAACAAGGGAAAAAAGAAAACTTTAATGCTTCCCTGTTGTCTTTAGGGTCAAGCCTATCTTTAAAGTGTGGTTCTAATCCCCTAGTACCCTCTTACCTGCTAGGATTTATCTTTCATTACCTACTCCCACCCCCCAAAACACATACACACACACACTCACACCACACAGACACACTCATACCACACACACACACACACATTCACACCACACAGACACACACAAGGTGGCCTCTTTGGGTTCACCCACGGTGTCACGTCCTGAGCCAGCTCAGCCTCTATACACCTCGGTAGGGGGACTCTTTTGCTCCCTCCTTTCCTTGTTATTTCTTATTAAACCTTCAGGTCTCAGTTTAAATCCTTCACCCTCTAGTGGGCCTTCTCCCCACCCCCCACCCCCAGCGTCCTTTGGATTTCCTGACCTCTTGTTCTTCCGCTGACCAGGCAGGTCACTCTGCATGTATTCATTTACACCTCTAGGTCCCTGACTTGACCTCAGGTTCTTGATGGGGATTCAGTCAGTACTGGTTACCACTGGGTCTCCCAGGCTTTGAGCTTGAGACTTGGCAGGGTGGGAGACATGAACTAAGATGGGGATCCAGGAGAAAGAACAGTTTTTCAGAGGGCACTGGGCTTTAAAGAGTTGAATTGGGGCACCTATGGGACTTATGGAGGGTCATGGAGGAGTCAGATGGGAGTCAGGTCTGAAGCACAGGAGAGGTCTGGCCAGACTCCTTTGGATGTGTTTTTCATCAGCATAAAAGTGAGTTAGAATATCATCGATCCATAGGGATTGATCAGATTTGAGCTGAATAGATGGGGTCCGTCTGCATGGCTTACCTTTTGATAGTGATATGGGTGGAAATAAAAAATATAAGAAAAACAATAGAACAAGGGAGATGATGACAGATTCCCAACATCCTCGGAGTGAGGGAGACGAGGGTGTGGTAGGGACTGTGGCCAATGGAGGGCACTGGTCCCTTCTAAAGGGGCCACTGAACTCAGTTCTGCCAGCTATGGTCAGATCCATCTCTGAGCTCGACATTTACTGGGCACATCTGCAACATCCTAGGCCCTGTTCTTGGTGCTGGAACATAACTGTGGGTGAGGGATGTACAGTCCCTGGTTCCAATGAAGGTAGACCAGGAAGGGGCAGCAAACAAGGAGCAAACAAGTGATATCATTTCAAATACTAGATGCTGTGGAGACAAAGGAGTGGGCAGCCAGTTTGGACACGTGGTCAAGAAAGGCCTCTCTGAGGTTAACATCTGAGCCATTGGGGAAGAAGTCAGAGCGGCGGAGGGGGTAGAGCTGGAAGCAGGGGAAGCGGCAGCAGCCAGCCTTGCAGGGCTTGGGGGAGGAGTGGGGGTTCTCCTAAGGGTACCGGGAACCCCCTGGAGCATTTTAGGCAGGGAAATGAAACCGGCTTCTAGGTGGCCAGGTCTCCTAATTTATTGAGCACAGTCATAATCTAGATTTTCTACATCTTTAACATTGTCTCGTTTTTTAACTATCACACAGGCCAAAACACTTCTGTAGGTCAACTCTGACCCCAAAGTCACTAGCTTGTGACCGCCACTTTATCTGGTCCTGGCAGCTGTGGAGAAGGAGGTTATAAGCCAGAGTGACTGGATGGGCAAGAGAAAGGGCCCAGGTTCTGGAGAGGGCCAAGATGGGCTTGCCATACCCGCCTCACCATACCCGCCTCAGCTTCCTCCTTTGGAAAGCAGGAATTCAGAAGCTACCTGCCAGGTGTATGGGAAGCTCAAGCTACAGCTCCAAGTAGTCAGGAAAGGCTATAAGGGGGTGTTCTGGGTCACTGCCTCATTTCAGCCCAATATCTCGGCCCTGGGGTCTGCACACACTAGCCTAGCCAACAAGTTCCTCCTGGGTGAGCCCTGGGCAAAAAGTCTGGACATCTCACCACTTACCAGCTGTGTGGCCTCAAGCAAGACCCTCTTCCTCCCTGGGACCCTGAAGAAGCCACCCCTTGCTCTCCCAGGGATGTTACGAGAATTAAAGAAGATGAGGGGTGTGTGGGATTCTGCTCCCTTCAGGGCTGGGCTGTGTACATGAAAGGCCTGTTTTTATCTACTCAGCGTGTCAGAGCCCAGCTGTGCTCCCAGGAGGGGGCGGGGCTGCAGCAGAGATGCAAATCAGCAAAATCTGGTCTTCCCACATGCTTGTTTGACCCACGGGGCTTGAAAAAAAAAAAGTTAAAAATTAATTTTAAATAAAGGAGCAAGGTGATCAACATTTAAAAATTAGAAGATTCCATGTGAGAATTAGATTTCCAGAATCTCCTGGAAAATTAAATTTTGACAATTTGAGTATGCTTCCTGCATAGCAACAGGGGAGGCACTCTCCAATTAGCTGCAATCCTCACTTCTCCCTAGGGTGTCCTGGACACTGAGGCTGACTGTTGCTACTGATCACTAAATTCATGCTGTTGTTTTTTTATAACTCACCTTTCATGTATGTTACCCTCCTGACCTATGGCCACCAAAGTTTTGACCCCCGCACTGGATGCCAGTAAAGGCAGGAAGTGACCTCGCACAAGTCAGGCAGACCTTGCATACCTGTCAGGTAGGTGCTATCGTCCTGTTTTTCAGAGAAGTAAGCTGAGGTTCTGAGAAGTAGGCATGGCCCAGCTGGTATGATGTCCCTCTGGCAAGCCTTCCTGGAAAAGGCTGGATTCCCAGTTCCCTGCTCAAAGTTTTGTCTCTAAAATAGGATGGGGGGTGGGGCTTTCAGGGTAGAAACAGAGAGCCTGGCCAGGGTGAGAGACCCAGCTTAGCCATTAACTTGCTCTATGTCTTTGAATGAGTTTTTGTACTCTCTGGGCCTCTATTTCCCAGTCTGAATGGGGCTCAAAGATCAATGCAAGAAGCTCTGCTGCTCCCAGTTCTTCTGGGCCCCTCCTGGCTCTGAAGGAATCTTCAGTATTCTCCAGTCACTAATTCAAGAGGCAGCCTAGGCCTGGGGATCCACCTCCTCCCCACTTCTTCCCTCTAGAACCCAACACCACCACTTTCCTACTTTATGCTCAGCCTTGGGTCCAGAACTCTCAGGCCCAGTTCATCATCTGGACCCCACAACAAATGCATGGGGGGACAGACATTATCACCCCATTCCACAGATGAGGACACTGAAGTCAGAAGGAGAAGTGACTCGACTGAGGGCACACATTGGGGGGAAGGAGGCTATCGTTCAAAGCCAGTTCTGTCTGAGGCCAAAGCCTGGGTTCTTCCCAATCATATCAGCCAGGATCGGGGACACTAATGCTTGGCTCTTAAAACCCTTTTGTGTTCCTTGGGACCAGGCCAAGGCTCCTCTGGATCCTGTGGATCTCACAGCAACTGTACAATGGAGCATGCAGTAGAGGAAGCAAGAATGTCCCTGCATACATACACCCACCTGCGGGAACATGCACACCCGATGAACAGATGATCTGCACACTTGGGCATAAACAGGTGAGTGTGACCCAATTGAGGAAGAAGGCTGAAATGACTGTGTAGGAGTATAGGCTGGCTCACCTGGTGTGCAAAGGAGTGAGCAGACTGCCTGTGGAGATTTGTACAAGCTTAGGCCAATCTGGAGCTAGGACTTGGCTCCTGAGGTATGCTGAAGCAAATCTTGGTGTGCGTACATATAACCCATATGTGCAGAATGGCCTGTGTGTTTGCACATCATGGGGGCCTGTTGGACCCTGTGGGTATGCACATATGGCCATATGGCCTCATGGTCTTACTCACGGGAGACTGGTCTGGGTTTGTGCACAGGCACTTGTGTTCCACTCAAAGGCATAGCAGCCCCATTGAATGCCCAGAGACCTGGCTAGCCTGTTCCTTTCTCTCTAGGATTTCTTTGCAGTCTGGAGCCATCCCTACACCCCCAATCAGGACCAGAGCTGCCAGGTACCTGCAAACATCTCCTCCCATAGTAACAAGACAGACAAAAGCTTGTGTACCTGTGAGTATGGTCTGCAGCCCCTTGTCCACTAGTCCCTTTAGAACAGCAAAGCCTCCTGCCTGGGGCTCTCAGGGAGAAGGAATCTACTAAAGGGACTTTCCCCCCTAGAAACAGCCTCCATGCATCCATCCATCCATAGGAGAGCAAGAATGGGCATTTAGGGGCATGCTAGTTTGGGTGGGGTAAGCAACAAGCTAAGACACAGCAAGTCTGTGTGTGGAATGATAGGGAGTGTGCTCACAAGGGTGACCGTCTATTCCAGGTTCTGGGGGTACAGGAGGGACACCATGAGCAGGTGTGAACAGGCACAATCAGACCACAGTAGGGAGACTGGGAGTGTGTTGTGATCAGGGCATTGTCGAGTTGAGTATGCTGTGATCTGTGATGGCTAATGTGAGTGCTTAACTGTGCCTGAGTGTATACTCAAAGCTCCCACTCGGTGAATTGGGTGGGTACACAGGTGGCTGTGTGTATGAGTCTGATGGAATGACCAAGGGCCACAGCGGGTGTGTGTTGGACCTGTGGCCTGGCCCAAGGATGAGGTGATCTCCAACGCAGTGTGTGACCGTGTCCCAGAGTGTGTGCCACACTGGGTGTGCAACGGCGAGTGTGCTCAGTGGTGCCAGTGGAGCCTCTCAAGCACCGCGGAGCTCACTCTGGGGAGGAGATGAATCAACGCGGGCGGACCCCCTCCCCCCGGTGGCGGGAAGCGCCCCCTCCCGCACTGCCGTGCGGAACAAAGCAGCTAGCAGCGTCCAGGCCGGACGCGGGGCCCCAGTCCTACACGCACCGCGGCCAGGCCCGCAGGGCCCCTCGGGGGTTCGGGCCGAGGATGCCGGACCCGCCCCCGCCCCGCCCCAGTGAGGAGCCTGGAAACAGACACCTGCCGCCCCCAGCCGCGCGAACACACAACCCGCCCCTCGCCTTGCGCGGTGCCAGAGCCCCCAGCGGAGGGGCTTTGAGGACCCTGGACAGCGGCTGCAGAGCTGCCGCCAGCGAACCAGAGGGGTCAAAGCCGCGCTCCTGGAGGGAACCGCAGGTGCGGGCGCTGCGCTTACCCGCGGGGCCGATGCTCCGGCTCTTCGGCGCGCCACGTTCTGGCTCCCGCCGCTGCCGCCGCCCAAACGGCCTCGGCTGCCTCGGGCCGGGCTGGCGGGTGGACCCGCGGACTCCTCGCTGCCGTCCCCCGAGCCGGTCCGCGCTCCCGCCCCGCGCCCCGCCCCGGGCATGCGCGCTGGTCGACTCGCGGCCTTGGAACCCGGGAGGGGGCGGTGCCGGCGGGGAAACGGGAGCTGGGTGGAGGGAGGGGCGCCCCTCGCCTGCCGCCCCTCACCGTCGGCCCGGTCTTCCAGAGTGCCCCGCCCTTCTCCTCCGGGTTCCCATTTCACAGACCCGGAGACTGAGGGGCGGAGAGGCTGCCCATTTGCTGCGCGCCAGCAGAAGGCGGGGCATGTTGCTTCTCAAATCTCAATAAACGCATCCCCGCGAACGCTCTGTAGTTTCACCGAGGAGGGAATTGCTGCTCCGAGAGCTGCAGCCACTGGTCCGAGGACCTGCGGCGCCTGCATGGGGACCCAGGTCGTCGGGATCTCCAAGCTCCCTCGAAGAGGAAATTTCCCGCCTCCCCCTCGGCCGCACATCCGGCCTTCTCTGCCCCCGCCCCCGCCCCGCCCCCGGCCCTTTGTCTCGCCGCTGCCCACGCTCCTGTGGGTGGAGGGGACGCCAGCGGTGGTGGTGCTGGAGAGGAGCCTTTCATTCTCCCTCTGCCGTCCTCCCCAAACAGGGTGTCCGCCCACTCTCCGGTCTGTGTAAGCTGGGTTTTCCTCCTCCTGGATACTCCTGAGCAAGTCGTTTCACCCCCTTTGAGCCTCAGTCTCCTGATCTGGAAAATGGGGCTAACATTAATCACCTCAGTAGTTTTGGAAGGCCGAAGGCGCCCGAAGTAGGAGTTCAGGGACTTCAAGTTGAATCTGAATTGCCAAAGACATGAGGATTCGCTGCTCTCCTCCTCCACGTTTCCTGGCAGAGAAGTGGTCCCCTCTTTCAATTTCCCCGAAGAGAAAATAACTGTAATTGTCCTGGAGGTGATAAAACCCTCTCTTGCCTGTACTATGAAACCATCTACTAAAAATAGTAACAATTAATGTAAATGAAACTCTTAGTTAGGCACAAACACAAACACTGTACTAAGATTTTGTTTACAGGTTTCATCTAATTTCCATTTCCAATCATTCAGGAGAAAGATTAATGTATTATATCCCCATTTTCAGATAAGAAAACAGATACAGATAAGTGCCTTGTTTGTGGTCACACAATTAATAGTGGGACTGGCATTACAAATTTATGCAATTTAACTCCAGCAACCTCACGTTTCACTGTTTTAGCATTCTCCCTTATCCGGTGAACCATAAGTAACTGTGACCTTAAAAGAATTTTTATTTTTAAAATCCGATGGCAAATGAAGAAAATCCATTAAACTGGCATCTTCAGCCTGGAGCCCAGGAAAGGGAGAAAACGGCGAAGTGCCAGACCAATTTTCAGCACCACGGACAGCACACACAAAGCCGGGATGCTTCCTTGTATTCCTAGTCCTAAAAATTATTCACTCACTGGTACAAGGGCACCCTTCTGCATCCGTCATTTCATTCCCTCCAGTCCTTCAAGGCAAATATTATCGACTCCATGGTGAAGATAAACACATTTTGGGGAGGTTCACAAGACATGAAAGGTGGCAGGAACTAAACTGATCTAAAAAGTTCCCCCTCTGGCAGAACGAGAGTGCACAGGAGCAGATCCTACACACAGATGAAGAAGCCATGGCAGGTGAGGTTCGCTGATACGTGAATCATGGTGACATTTCTTGGTATGGAGAAGAGGGGCCAACTAATATACTTGGTCATGGGTTGGAGGTTGGCATGGAGGAGAGAGGGTTCTGCTGTCCCTCTGAAGTTTTGCCTTAGAAATCCAGGTGGATGGAAGATCTATATCTGATGAGCTCAGGGGAAAGGAGGGGCTCATGTTCTAGCCACAATGAGACATAAGAGCCCAGAGCTGGATTCTGAAGTGGCCACTGCTGAAAATGGACTAGGAAGCTGTTAACACCCCCTGAGACTGTTAATGGAGGCCAGGAGAGACATGTCAGCCTGTGGAGGGAAAGTATCAACCAAATAGGGAGACGTGCAGGGCCTGGGTCAGCCTGAGGAAGGAGCACGGAAGGAACCGCTGAGAAGAGGAGACTGCAAAGGATGAGAAGCACAAAGTCTGAGAAGCCAGTAGAAACCCAAGAGAGTGTGATGTTTCAGAAGGCAAGGGGAGAGAATGTTCCAGAAGGAAGGCAGTGTCAATCACATGGGAAGACAAAATGTGGCCTGCAAGGTGCCCTCTGAATTTGAAAAGAAGGTTAACTGGAAACTCCATCAGAGCCCAGTCAGTGGAGGGGTGGAGAGGAGGGGGTGGAAGGCCAAGTTGGTGTAGGGGAGTTTGATGATCAAATGGGAGTAGGGAGGTGGAGTTAGGCTGGGGACATAGCTTAGTGGTAGAGTCCCTGCCTAGCATGAACCCTAGGTATGATACCAGGCACTGGGCAGGGGGCAGGGAGGAGAAAGTGGAGAGAACAATTAGATGCCTTTCTCAAGAAATTTTGGCTCTAAGAGAGAAAAGAGGGATGCTGATCTCTATGGCGATACAAGGTTAAAATGGAGGAGACTTAAAGGCATTGAAATCCTGGTGAGAAAGGCCTGGGGCAGGGGCAAAAGGGAGGAGGCCAGCAAGGCAGAGCATGAGGGCTGGGCCAGATACTCAGGATGGAGGGACAGGTGGGATCCAGATCCCTGGGGTGGCTTGCAGAAACTGACATGAACACCGAAGGCATGTTGTTTATTTGTGTGGTGCAAGGTGTAGGGGAGTGTAAAGGTGACCCAGGAAAGGAAGGCAGCCAATGAGAGGTTGTTATTAAGCCAGCCACCACAGTGGGTGAGTGAAACTTAATTCTGCAGGGAAGTCTTGGAAAATGAGGCAAATGTTCATTTCAGAATTCCTCTGGCCAAGGAAAGAGATCTGGGGAATGCATATCCCCACATCTGGCAGATATTGCTTAAGTGCCATCCCCAGAGTTTGTGGCATGGGGCTGTGTGTTAATTCCTGGGCAATTCTGGTCCACAGTGCATGGGGGTGATATGTGTTCAGCAGCAGCCTGAGAGTGTCTTGGACAAAGATAATCATACTGACTGTTGGGAGTCCTGCTGGGGGCACAGAAATGGTCAGGGCATTCAAGGGGATGTGTAGAGCTCTGTCCATGTCTGCTGCATAGGCATAGCATCTGTGTCCTTTTCCATGCTCTCTGACCCCTTTTGTTCCAAAGGGACTTGTTGATAAAACCATTTTTAATGGAAATCTTCAGACAACAAAATAAATCATTTATTAAGACAGGAATGGAGCTCAAATGGGCAGGGAGGCAGTCTGGGTTCAATCTTGGCTTTGTCAGCTACTAAATGTGCGGCCTTGACTGAGGTCTCTGTGAACTTCACTTTACCACATATAACACTAGCGATCTGAGAAAAAATACACTAAGTGCCTGACATAAGGTAGCCACTGTAGAGGATGCTTCTGTTTGGGTGACCCCAGCTCATACGCCCTTTTCTGACCACAGCACCTCCATTTTCCTGGGGAACTCCCCACTCTAGTTTGTGTAGTGGGGTGGGATGGACTCCATTGCCAGCTCTGGAGGTGGGTAGTAACCCAGGCCTGGTTAACTGATGTCTAAGGATTTATTCTGAGGGTGGGGGTAGAGCAGGGGACCAAACTCAGAGCAAATTACTCTCTTTCCTGGAACTTTGGGGATAGCTGAATTGTTGATGTGTCCACATGCTGGAGGGGCATCTTTGTTCTCATGAGGACAGATTCTGCCTAGGCTTGGGGCTTGGGACACCCCTTTGACAACCCACATGGCCACCCGCACCCATATGAGTGTGTGTGTGCATATAGCTTAGGTTGATCTGCTGCTGGGGAGCCGTACACACGCGTGCGCACAAGAAGATAAACAAGGGCCTGCAGCTCCTTGGCTGGCGCCCAGGCCGGGGGTGGAATAAACAATCCTGGTGACTTTCTGAAAAGCAAGCATGTGTGGCAACAGGCACCATGGAGACAAGCAGACTGTACCAGAGCAGACAGCCGACAGCCCCCAATGCCACCCCTGTGCATGCCTCTCTGTGCACGCGCACGCACACACACACACGCTGTCCTTTCCTCTTTCATGTCTCTATCATGTTCATATCCATTCCATCAAACACAATTCTTCTTTCACACCAGGACCACCCGCTCCTGCGGTCTAGCCAGCCACCCCCATTCTAGCTTTGATTGATGCTAAAGGCTTTGGAGAAGATCTGAGATTCCCCATACAGCAGCAGCCATGATTCCTGACCCCTTCACCTGTACACTGGTCCTTGTCTAGGGTGGAAAGGTGTGTGCTCTGTGTGTATGTGTGTGTGTATAGGTAGGGGTTATCATAGTGGGCAGTGACAGATAATCCTAACTTTCTGTAAAGTTCTTGCATAACGTTCTCGCGCTTCAGGGATACACGCACAACACACATTGACTCCTGAGGGTTGTCCAGATACTCAGATGCATAACTCTACATGCTTGCGATGATGATGTGACAGTAGTATACCTTACTGACTCCCTAAGTATAGTCATCATCTCATTTAATTTAATCCTTAAGGAAAATCACCTGGACAATACAATTATTATTCCCATTGAATAAGTGAAGAAACGGACATTCAGTGAAGTTCAGTAAATTGCCAGGGTCACACAGCTAGAAGGGAATCTGGGAATCACTGCTGCCACACTATTAGCCCCACCCAGATGTACATGCAACACCGCATGCCTGGGTGCATACGTGCAAGCACACACACACTGCCTCCTGTCAACCCAGATAACTGATGCCCATGGAGCCATCTTCCCATCCCTGGCCTTCTCACTCCCAGGCTCTCACTTGGCTGCCCTCTGATTCATGAGACTCCCTGGTTTGGGACTTTATGAGAACAGCCTGATGCCCACACAGACCCCTTCCCTCCCCTGCTGCAACCCCCTCACCCTCCCCAAAGCTGCAGGCCCTGGCCCAGCTGGGGGCGGCCCCAGGATTTGGATGGGTGACTCAGGCTGAATCATGGCCCAGCTGCTCCTTGGCAGCCCCCTCCCCCATTCTGCCCAGAAAGCCTATTTGGAAGGCAAAGGTGGGCCTTGGAGTGGGGGGCAGGGAGCGGGGGATGGGGCACTTGAGAAGGAGGACAAAGCACAAGAGAGCCTTTCAGGAAGCCCTCACCCTGACCCTCATTCTGCCAGGAAAAGGTGTCCTTTGTTTGGACTGAGACCAGGGGCTCCCTCTCCAATACCAGGGCCCATTTTGGCTTGCCTCCTCAATGTCTGGGTTCTAATAATAACAGCAACAATAACACTGTTCACTACTCTAGTTGATCACTCACATTTCACAGTAGTGCAGTTTATAAAGCTCTTTCTCATCAGCATCACATTTAATTCTCCTACTGGTCTTAGGGGGTGGAAATTAGCATCTTTGCTTTGGAGCGGAGGAAACTGAGGCTCAGAGAAATATATGAAATGACCAGTGTCACACAGTTAGTGAGATGACTGAGCCAGGATGAAAGCCCAGCCCTCTGGTCCATTCTGTGGGAAGTAAGCCCTGGAGCTGTGATTCGGGCAAAATTAGGGCACGGTTGGGGGGCATGCAGGGTAATATGGCGATTGCTAGGAGGAAGACATGGTGGGGGTACTACAGGGGCATGACGGGGACATGGCTGGGCATCAAAGGTGCATAGTAGTGTGGCATGGTTGAGCCATGGCAGGGCCATGGCAAGGGCATTGGAGGTATGTGAGAAGGGATGGCAGAGGTATCCCTGGCAGCAGGGTTTGTGGCAGGGATGTAGAAACATTTTTCCTTTACGTTCTTGCAATTCATGAATTATGGAATTATTTATGCTTTCAAACCTTTCATGTTTCAAACTAATATATCAAGACTAACAAATGTAGAGCCTGGAGTTTCTTCTGAGAAAGTGTTGGTTGTGAGGACCTTTGCTTCCTGAAGCCTCAGTTTCCCCATCTGAAAACAATGGGTCCAGTCCTGTGGTAGGATAGAGGCTATTAAGAGGCACGAGTGAAGCCACTCTCATCAGGCGCTTGAGAAGCTGGGAACGACTCCACAAAGGACTGCTGGTTCTCACATTTTGTTTCATCCTTTTAAGAAACACTTGTGGGTGCTGGGCAGAGGGCTGAGTGGGCTTCTGGGAGCCAGGGGGCGGTGCTGCGGGGGGAGTGGGTGACATCTCTTCCTTTCCCCCTGCCTGGGCTCCGTCTGGCCTTCCCCCACCCTCAGCCCAGAGCCCGTTTCTAGGCAACAGAATGGATGCAGGGATGGTTCGGAGGGGAGAGAGCTATAAATAGGGAAGGGAGAAAACAAAAATAAAGTTCCAGAGAAAGCCGGGAAGCCGCATTACTGGGGGATGGGGGTGGGGAGACGGGGGAAGACAGACAATGGCAGGGATGCAGGGATGACCCCCAGCCCCCCATTATTTTCTGCTTAGCTGCCCAGCAAGGGTCCAGAGAGGGCTGATGTGGGTGGGAAGGGGGACTCTGTGTGCACAGCTGAGCAGAATGTACTTCTGGTCAGAGGAGTAGGAAAGCTCAGAAGATGGAAGCATTTCATCAGGCACGGTTGAGGGCAGCTTGTCTGGATGCGGGAAAGAGCCCAGGCAAAGGAGGAGACGGCACAGGCCAGGAGGGGTGGGGCTGGTGCAGGATCTCAGATATCCGGAGGCCTGGCAGGGTGAGCCTTGCTGACCACACTCCCTCTATGCACATGCCCAGGCACAGGGGTGGGCACTTTCTCTGGTGTGCAATGCTGGCTGTGCCCAAACCACCTCTTTTCATTCAGGTTTTAGCTCCACCTCACCTCCTCAGACACCTGACCCAGCCACCTTGTTTTAGTGTTGCCATCGCCCCCTCCCTGTAACTTTCTATCACATGGCTCCCTTTTATGTGCTTCATAAAACTAGAAATTATCTTGTTGATTGTTTTGTGATCTCTGGGAGGTGAATTGTCAGAGCATTGACCTGCAGGGCTATTCCCTGAAGTTCCTCACTTCTAAGAGGAGAACAAGTGTGTAAACACACTATTGGAAGAATAAATGAACTCAGCACACACGGGCAACATCCATGTACACACACGAACACAGATACAGACATAGTGCAAATGCATGTCCATATCTCAGTTGTAAGTGTGAACACCCCACTAACTCACACAGTGTTGCTCCTGGGTTCCATGACATTGCACAAGTGTCTGTAATCTCCACATTGCTGCTTCTCTGCATTTTCCTATTGGTTTTCATTTGTTTGTTTCTCCACAAAGCCAAAGAAAGCCCATTTTGGAAAGGTGTTAGGCTTTGGATTCAGGTTTGGGGCTCAATATTTCTTTTGCCACTTCCCAGCAAGATGACCAGGACATGTGGTTTTACCTCTTTGAGCTCCATTTCCTCATTCACAAATTGGGGCAAATAACAAAGAAGCCTTGAAGCTGGCTTCAAGTGAAATTAATGGAGTTAAGGACCACATGCCTGGGCCCTTGGGAAATGATTTTGTGCCTGTCACATGAGAGGAGACCATGATCTGTGTGGGCTCACACACACATACACACATAGCCAGGACTGCCTTCTGACACGGGCCTGGCATCCTCTGCTGATGCTTCTGGACTTGTGCCTGGAATGCATTTAAAGTAACCCTGGCAGACGAGAACATTGGTCTCTGAGCAGAACCATTCTCAGTAGGACCAGGTGTAGGTAGGGGTTGGCGCCCGGGAATGAGGAATAAATTTCCCCACAGACCAGATGGTGAATACGGTTTTGTCATCTAAAAATGGGGATCAGGTGCTGGTCGCTGGATCAGAGGTTGCAAACTTCTTTAGAGGCCAAGCTGATCATGAAAATAGAGGATAGGAGTAATACAATAAGGAAAGGACTATGGCAAAATGGAAAAGGTGTGCTCAACCCAAAGATATTCTTTATTTCTATCTATCTATCTATCTATCTATCTATTTATTTATTGGTACAGGGGATTGACCAGGGGCGCTTAACCAATGATCTACATCCCCAGTTCTTTTCATTTTTTGAGACGGGGCCTCACTAAGTTGCTTAGGGTCTTGCTAAATTGCTGAAGCTGGCCTAGAACTTTCAATCCTCCTGCCTCAGCCTCTCTAGTCTCTGACATTACAGGCACACCACCGTGCCCAGCAGATACTCAAATTTTTAAAGTTTAAAACCTTGTGCTAGCAAATTAAACATAACTAGAGGCCAAATTGAACCAAGGGCCACAAGTTTGCAATCCCCTAGGACTGTGGGTTGTAAGTAATGTCTTAATTCAGCCCAAAGGGATTTGAGCTCCTCCTTGCACCCTCACGAGAATCACAAAATCCAAGGCCACCAGTTTGTTCTACACACACACACACACACACACACCCTCCGTCTGTCAGATGCCTCCTGCCTCAGGGCATAAAGACCCCTACATAGCAGACCAAGGTGACGGGAGCAGACTGGTCTCCAGCTTCATGACCTTCCCAGGTTTGACTTCGCCTCTCGCCTGCAATAACTCAGGTAGGAAGAGACGCTAATACTTCGGACTTATTGAATAAATCAAGCTTGCAGTTTTGCAGCTGGAGGGTAAGGCTTGGGCTTCGGCTAGAAACAGGGATCTACCAAAGCATAAAAATGGGCGGGGTGCGCAGTCAAGGTGGCGGGCCTCTGCGGCAAAGCCGAGCGGGCTCCCGCACGCTGGGGGTGGAGCCTCTGCAGGACGCGGTGGGGCCTGTACAGCAAAAGAGGGCAGGGGCGATGCACGGATGGGGGCGAGGCCTAGGAACGGCAGTTTTTGCGCCAATAAAGACTGGGCTTTCGTGCTGGCGGGGGCGGAGCCTCTGCGCAGAACCCGCAGTATCTCCATCCCCTTCTATTTCACTCTGAGGCGGTGTTTGGGGCCCCCTAGTGCCGGTCGTGACCGGCGAGGGCTCCCGGACCGCTTTCCTACATTTCTATCGAGGCTCGCACTCTTCAGCTGAAACCTCAAAATTTTCAGGCGCCCTTCTAGGAGGGATGGAGACCGGAGCTCTGTCCCCTTCTGGGGGACAATGGCTCTTTCCCGCCTGCTTAGGGATTTTGTTTTTGTTTTTCTGCTTTGGGCAGGTGAGAGCAGGGCTGTGTGCGCATTAACATGTCTCTGTGTCTGCGCTGCTGGTTTCCGAAGGTTTCTGCGTGGCTCGTATCCAGCTGCGAGAGCACACGCGTGTCTCCACGTGCGGCTGCCTAGGGTTCGTACTCTCGGGTTCAGTGCAGGCACCGGGCACGTGCACGCTGGTCTGCGCGAGCGTGCGCATCCGCGCACCCGCGCTGCCTCTGCGGCGTGGAGCTCCCCTTGACCCAGCACCTCAGAAAGCTCTTTACAGCGCAGCAGGTGGCGCCCCAAACCACTTTCCTATCTCACAGTCCACTGCTTGTCTCAGACCTGTGGGGTCCCCTTTCCCCGGCCAGGTCACGGGCGGGAGACGGAGAAGCCAAGGTCTCAGGTGGTCAGCTTCGTGGGCTAAGCGTACTAGACTCCACCGAGTGAAGAGCAGCCTGGCAATCTGAAGCCCATCTGCCTCTGCCCCCCCCAACTCCCAGCCCAACCCTGCCCTTGCGGCGCTGGCTATAGACAGATTGGCTTTATTCATGGACACACGGGGCGGGGGGGGGGCGGCCGCGCCTGCCCACCCGGGACACGCTCACACGGTGGGGTGGGGGACTTTCCATGCCACAATCACAACACATGACGCCCGCGCTCGGACCGGGCCGGCTGGGGGAGGGGGCATGGCACAGCCTGGCTCCTGGTTTTGGTTTTTAAAAAAAAAAAAAAGTTCTTGGTGTGATGTGGGAGTAGGGTGGGGTGCTCTGGGGTTGCCCGGAGGTCCCTCGGAGAGCCTCTTTCAGGGTGGGAGAGGAGCGGTCGCTTTCCTATTTTTGTTTAAAAATACATAAAACATGCGACATCCACGCAGACACCAGACGGGAGGGGCAGGAAGGGGCAACACTGGTGAGGAGAGACTCTCAGCCACAGCTGCAGCCCCAGCCCCAGCCGGGTTCACGCCCCAGGGTTGGACGCGGGCAGGTAGGACAGACAGACAGACACAAACACAGGCTCTGAGAGGGCTCCTCAGAGCAGAAGGAAGATCTCGTGTTTTGGGGGACGGGGTAGAGGGACAGCCCTGGTTCTGGGGGGCGGGCAGGGACAAGGAAAGAATTGTGCTGCTGGTGGGGGGCCGTTCTGGACCCTTACGCCTCTGGCTCATACTCCTGATATTCCTCCTGCATCAGAGAGTTGGGGGTGGAGTAGAGAAGAGCAAATGGGAGAAGGGGTTGGAGACCAAGTGGCCAAACTTTGGCCCCCAGATCCCCACCCCTCGAGGAGGAACAATGCATGCGCCTCCCCCTGGCCAAGGGAGGAACCCCAAGTAGGGGATAACTGGGTAGTCCTAGGCAGGGGTTGCCTGGAGCTCAATGCTAGGCCCCATCTGACCTCCCCTCCCTGCTCCCACCTCCTGCAGCCTGGGTTCTAAAAGAGGCAAAGGCTGAAGCCCCCTGGCCCAACCTTATCATGCCAGTAACCACCCACCCCAGTTAGGGATGGCAGCAATCATCCTGGATGCCCAAGGCCCCGCCTGACCCTATCACCCCCTCACCTGAGGTGGTTCCTCATAATTCTCCCCCTCTGGCTCCATCAGGGGCTCAATCAGCGGCTCCTCAGCAGCTTCTTGGGCCACTTCCTCTGGCTGAGGGCAGAAAAGGGTAGGGCTGGTGAGGGCAGCCAGGAGACCCCTAAAATCCTATGCTGGAAGAATGGGGAAGGCTACGTGGGGTTGGCACTGCAAGGAGAATTTTTAATTAAATTGTTTATTTGGAGCAACTTAGAAGTAGGGTGGAGGTGTGAAGGGTGAAATCCCTTCAAATCATGGCTTGAAGCTGAGAGTGTGGAGGGGGTGCTAGACTCTCTGCACCCCTCCCTCCAGCACTTGGCAGCCTCTTCCATATCTATCATTTGGACTGGGTGGGGTAGGGGGATAGACAGCACACCAAGTCACCCATTTACCCCTAGCTCCTTTGTGTCTGGCTCTGAGCCAGATGGGGAACTCAGACAGAACCCTGGAGACTCCCCTCCAGGGTGGAAGGGAGATGGAGACTCAGGGACAGGGCTAAGTAGGGGCTCTGAGCCATTCCCCTGCCACCTTCCATCATCCCTCCCCCAGGGCCAAGCGTGGCCTGATTTCTTCGCTGTTGCTATTTTAAGATAAGCTGGAAGCAACAGCTCATGGTGTTGCTTGGATGTGTGAGCTAAGACTCTCCCCTCCCCCCTGCATCTGCTGCCCAGATGGGCACAGACCAGCGGGAATGCATGTGGGGGGCTGCTAGGCACATGGCTGGCCTCCTGCAGGTGAGTACATGTATGTGCACACACAACAACTGAGGGAACCTGCGTGGCTTTACAAAACCCTATGTGGGCTAGCACACAGCTGGGACCCTCAGTTGGCCCTGAGATGTTGGCACTCTAATTGCTCTAGCACTATCTAGGTGGCTTCACTCCTTTCTAGTACCTGTTTAGGTGGACCCTGTGAGTATATGAGGTTTTAGATCCTGACCTGGCTTATTCTTCCTATTGTAGAGATGGGTATACCAAGGCCCAGGAGGTAGGGAAATGTTAGTTTGCCCCAAGTTACCCAGCTCTGACCAGAAAGAATCCAGGTGAAAACTACAGTGTTAAAAATACCAGGGCTGGGGATATCCTCAGTTGGTAGAGTGCTTGCCTCACATGCACAAGGCCCTGGGTTCTATCCCAATCAGCACACACACGAAAGAAAGAAAGAGAGAGAGAGAAAGAAAGAAAAAAAGAAAGAGCCAGCTTGAGCACATTGTTTGGAAACAACCAAAATGTGTAACAAACAGCAGAATGGATATGTACACTGTGGTCCAATCACACAGTGGAATAGTACACAACAAGAATGAAGAATGAGCCAGGCATGGTGGCACACGCCTGTAATCCCAGTGGCTTGGGAGGCTAAGGCAGAAGGATCTTGTGTTCAAAGACAGCCTCAGCAACATCGAGGCACTGAGCAACTCAGTGAGGCTCTGTGTCTAAATAAAATACAAAATAGGGCTGGGGATGTGGCTCAGTGGTTGAGTGACCCTGAGTTCAATCCCTGGTACCTGCCTCCCTCAAAAAAAAAAAAAAAAAAAAAAGAATGAATGAAGAATGACGGCACCTCTAAGAGCAGGGCTGGATCTCAAGAACTTCTCGTTGAATGAAAGAAGCCAGATACAGAAGAGCATGCACTTTATGATACTGAAGTGGAGTTTAAAAACACCACAACTAATTTGTGGTGACAGAAGTCAGGAAGTGTGAACCCCTGGAGGGGGTTAGGTAGGGCCAGGACTGGGGTAAGAAAGTGAGGTGCATAGGGTGAGTGTTAGGGAGGCACTCGCTCCCAGAATCCTGCAAAGGAGACCCTATGTGTGAGTGCCCCCACACCTCCCTTGCCTCACCCTAGTCTCGGCCGTAGGGGTAGGGACTTGGAAGGGAGTACAATAGGAGGGGCTGGGGGTGCTGATATTCTGTGTCTTGAGCTGGCTGCTGATCATTATGGGGACATTCCTTTTCTGAAAATTTCATGGAGCTGCATGTATGTTGTTCTTCAATAAAAAGTCATTTAAGGGCTGGGGGTTTAGCTCAGTGGTAGAGCATATGTGTTCAGCATTAGTGAGGCCCAGGTTTTGATCCCCTGTACCCCCTGCCCCAGTCACATAAAAACACATCCCAGCCTGGCCTCACTAGCGATTTGGAATTAGACAAGTCATTTCACCTCTCATCACAGCAGCCTGGGGTGGGAAGGAGGATGCCGTGTGCCTTGAAGGAATACGGCGAGGACTTCATGGTCACGTAGGAAAAGCATGTTGGAAGCTGGAGACTCAGAAATGCTGACCCTGAGCTTAAACAGGTTCCCCCACCCCAGGGAGCCTCAAAGAGCTGCTGTTTGGATCATGACCCTGATCTTCACCTCCCTGAGAAAGCAACCTTGATGTGTTCACAGACACCAGTGGGAGAAAGGTGGCTGGAGAGATGATTCTGGGCAAAGACCTTTCACAAAAAGCCTAGAGGCCAACAGGTCAGGCCCCCATCTGCCTCTCTCTGCACCTCAGCACCCAGCACACACCCTGGTCCTGGGCCAGCACCTGAGCGTATCCTCCCAACCACCTCATAAAGGAAGTGGGCAGGAACTGGGATGTTGGGCAAGTCCCTTCACCTTTCTGAGTCTCAGTTCCTCCAGCTATAAAATGGGCTAGTTTGGTACCTTCCTCAAAGGGACATGGTGAAGATTTGGTAAGTCACTCCGTGTTAATGTCTAGTGATCAATGAATGGGAGCAATTAGTGCTAACATAATTATTGGAAATGGGACATGAGTTCCCATTTACAGCTGGTAAATGCAGAGAAAGAACTTGAAACTTGAACTTCTGAGCTAAGACCCAGACTTCTAACAGAGGAAGGAACCAACTGTGCAAAATGTCTGGAGTCGGGGGTGTATGGGGTCTCCCCAGCCCGATGGGTATGGTCACAGAATATATACTGATCACCCAGCCCAACACTGAACAAAGAGCCCGACGCCTACAGCCACGGATACACAGGGGCACCCACAGGAGGGATGTAGGTATACACGTGGTTAGGACCACAGGGCACACTGTCATGGGCACACTTCTCTGCACACCTGTGATGCCATGATCTCCTGCAGGTAGACAGCCACTGTTTACCTGACCATGACTGGGCACTTGCTGTATGGAAGCCAGGCTCTCTTTATCTCAATGGTTCTCAAAGTGTGGTCCTTAAAACTGTAGCATCAGCATCAAGGGCAAATTCTCGGGCCCCACCTCAGATCTACTGAACCAGAAATTCTAGAGATGGGGCCAACCCTATGTATTTTCATCTGGCCTCCTATGATTCTGTGCATGTTTGAGTTTAAGAATCTCTGATCTATATTATCCCAAATTTACCTAAGAGTACTATTGGGTTTGTTTTCCATGTTGCAGGCAGATAATGAGGCTCAGAGATATGATAGGACCCATCCAGGGCCACAGAGCCTGGAAGTAGTGGATCTGGGATTTGAACCCAGTTCCACGGGGCTCAGGAGCTCACCACTCTTTCCTTATGGGGTGTCTTAATGAAGTCTTCTGTCTCCATTCATACACGAGTAGCCACCACCACTCTACTGAGGAAGCATATGTGCACAAATGTGTGACAGACAGGTCATACCACTCTGACGCCATCATGGCTCACACTTGCCTCACTGCTTCTATCTGCCTGAAATATAATTCCTGCACATCTTCTTTCTCCTCCCTTGGGTGCCAGCTCAAACGTCATCTTCTCAGAGATATTGAGAAGATATCGTCCCTCCTCAAGTAGCCCTCTCTTCTCTTGACTCTATATCATCACCCACATCATCTTTTCTTTTTCCTTGTGGAGGTACTGGGGATTTAACCAGGGTCAATTTACCATGAGCTACATCCATTATTTCAAGACAGGTTCTCACTAAGTTGCTTAGGGCCTCACTAGGTTGCTGAGGCTGGCCTTGAACTTGTGATCCTTCTATCTCAGCCTGCTGAACTGTTGGGATTACAGGCATGTGCCATCCATGTTGTCTTTTCTTCATAGCACTTATCCTGTCTGAAATCACCTTATTTATGGACTTGGGTTTTACTGTCTTCTCCTGCTACAACATCAGCTGCACAAATGGAGGAACCCTTTCACATGGGAACCTCTAGAACAATTCCATGGATTTTTGTTCCATGAAAAGAAATGAATGAACAGTCAGTGGCCCAGGCAGATGTAGCCAGAAGTGGTCTGGATCACACTGGCAAGCAGGGGACACCCAGCCAGCTACATCCATGGATGCAGTGCACCCATGTAGACCTTCGGACTTCATTCCTAGCTGAGCCTAGTGTAGTCTTACAGAACAGGAGACAAAGACACTTGTTCCCCAGGTTAGCAGGGGCAAAGGGGAACGTGGTGGCGGGTTTATTTGTGTGCCTTGTGTGTGTGAGAGAGAAAGAGAAAGAGAGAGAGGGGGGCGGGGGGAGGGAGGATCACTCACCTTCAGGTCCGTGGGGAACTCCTCCTTCTTCACCAGGCCTGTGGCTGCTGCGATGTTCCCAGCCCCAGAGAACACAGCTCCTCCCAGATGTGATGCCTGCTCCTTGGTTTTCTCAGCCACTGGAGCAGGGAGGGGGTGAGGAAGGGATTTGGGGGCCAGGGTGAAGGAGGCATAGATGTCCCCACACAATATCCCAGGGCATGCCCTTCCCAGGGAGCACCCCTCACAGAAGCTTTGGGAGTCCCCTCCTGCCCTCTGTACCCCAGCCAGATCACAGGCTGGGTGAGGGAAGGGGCTGTGCCAGAGCTGGATGGGTACCTGAGGCCACACCTTGTACCACCCCCTCTCGGGTCTTGCTTCCTGCAGGGAGGAAAAAGAACACATTTAAGGAGTCTCAATGAGAAAACAGAAGCCAGCAGAGCACATGGTGGACAGGGGGACCCAGGTGATAGAGAGTACCACCATCCCACTATTTGCTTTCTTGGGTCCCCATTTCCCCCATGCTAACCACACTGAGCCCTCCATACCTACTTTCTCAGGTTTCCCAGTCCCACCTCACTTCCACCACCTTCCCAGGGGATGTTGGTTGAGTGCCAGCACTGTGGAAAGCATGTGACTTGCACCCTTTCATGCATTACTCTCCCTAGCCCTGGGAGGGGGATGCTGTTGTCCCTATTTCACAAGATGGGAACGAATTTAGTCAGGGCCCTGTAACCAATAAGTGACTGAGTCCTATGGGCCTTTCTGACTCTAAAACTCCTGCTACCCACTCTGTTCTGTAAATATTTTAGCCCAGGATGGAGGCAGGTGGAGCTGGGGGACTATGAGTTTTGAAAAGTGTCCCTGGTACCCCTGATGTAAGACTGCTCATGTTCCACTGCCTCCAACTCCATTTCTTCTAGACTCTTTCTTCCTATCAAGGGTCAAAGCCCTCCTTCTGGCCAAAATGGGGAGTCTTAGGCGCAGGGTGGTTCTAAAGGTGATATGCATATTGTGACTGGCCGTGCCTTCCCAGGAGGGTAGCAACTTGGTCACATCAAAATAGGGGGTGGGCACTGGGAAAGGTAAGAAGGCCTGATCTGCTGCAAGGGTCCTACAGGGAGAGAGTGGGGTGTGTTTCATGCTGAGAATTTAGCAACCCAGACAACCACTGATAAATTCAGAAATGGGCATCTGGGCAGGCTGAGGCATGTGGGGAGAGGAGCAGGGGTCCACATGGGAAGACGGGTTCTCAGGGCTAAGGTCCTCTGGAATCAGGAGATGCAGAGCATGGGCTACATGCCCACCCCTCATTCCTCCCACAAGTGCCTGGTTTGCACATGCTCTGAGCCAGGCAGTGGGCTAGCGGCTCACTGTCTGAGGAAGTAAGAGAAGAGCATGTTCAATTTCTGAACCTCAAGTAGTGGTGAGAGGGTCTCCAGCCTCCAGGGGTTGTGTGAAGTGGGAGGGGATACTACCTGGACCTTGAGAAATGAATGAACAGGTGGATATTCAGGAAGGAGATTGGAGAGAGTGATCCAGGCTCAGGGAACCATGCAGGCAAGACTCAGGGAGGCATGATTTAGTCCTCATGCTAGGAGCAATGGGTATGGTGAGAGGCAAAGCTGGAAAGGTAAACTGAGGCAGGATAATGAAGAGCATTGGGATGCCAGGTGCCAGGGAGCTGAGCTGAGGCTTTAATGTGTGAGGACTGGGCTTCATGGTGGGCTTCTGGGCAGGGGGAGGAACAGAAGTTACCAATCTAAGAAGAAGGGCAGCATGGCTTGGGGGGATGTCTATTTGCAGAGAGAATAGTGCGAGGGGTCAATAGGAGTGAAAGGACTGGGGAAGAGGCAGAAGGGAGGCCAGAGCTCAAGCCTTTTCCTTGTCTCCGTCGCCACTGCCACACTCATTTGGTGGCTACCCTACTTCTTAGTGGGCTTCCCTGTAATTTGTTCCATCCCCAGGGGCCTGAGAGGCCTTTCTAATCTGAAGTCAGATCATGTCAGTCTCTTGCTTACAATCTCTCCCCACACTTACAATTAACCACCAGGCCACCTCCCCAGGCCTTTTTAATATTTTATTTAGAGACAGAGTCTCTAAATAAAAGTTGCTTAGGGGCTCACTGCTGAGGCTGGCTTTGAACTCATAATGTTCCTACCTCAGCCTCCTGAGCCACTGGGATTACAGGCGTGCTCCAAGATGCACGGTGTCTTGGTCCTCTCTTGAACTGACTCTCATCCACAAACTTGACCTTATCTCCTATCACTGCTTCCTGCCCTTGGCTTTCCAGACCATCCCACTTGCCTTTTCTGCCTCCCCTGTTCTCCACTTGGCTCTTTATTATGAAGGGCTCAGCTCAAATGTCATCTCCTCTTTTTATCTTATCCAAAAAATGAACCTAACCAGGTGTGTGGTAGCACATGTGTATAATCCCAGCTACTTGGGAGGCTGAGGCAAGAGGATTGCAAGTTTGAGGCTGGCCTTTGTAATTTAGCAAGACCTTGTCTCAAAAAATTGAAAGGGTCGGGGTGAAGTTCAATGATAGAGTGCCCTTGGGTTCAATCTAGTACTGAAAGAAGAAAAAAATTCCCCATTTCTGCCTTTGGATATCAAAAATTCCACTACTGAAATGCTCTTTATCCCCATCAAGAGATAATAAATCCCCAGCATCCACACAATGCCTGTCACATAGTAGGTGGTCACTAAATAGTTTTAAGATTAGCACAATCCAAATCTGCCATGACCTTGGGCAAATTATCAACCCCTTTGAGCCTGAACAGGGGATAATTATACCTGCTTCCCACAAGCAAGTCCTGAATCACCATATGGGCTAAGAAAATCAGCAAACATCAATTTCCAGCCTTTCCTCTCTTTATGCAAATGACTCTAAAGCTCCTTTTACACTTAGGGTGAAGATTTTAAGCACTTGGCCTTTTTCCTGACTCCATCTGGCAGCTGCAAGGAGGGTGGACAGGTGGAGAGATGGCAATGGTGAACCCATAGGCACTGGGAAGCAGGGGGAGCCTGGAGAGCAACTTGGCCCTGGAGGCAGGTGGAGAGAGCCCATACTAATACAGGAAGGAGAGTCCAAAGAGGAGGGATGGGGCTTCCCAGTCTATCAAAGTAGGTTCAAACCCCAGCTTCAGGTTTTACCAGTTCTGTGACCTTGGGCAAGATAATTAGATAGCCGGGAGCCCCAGTTTCCCCATCAGTGGAATGGGCTGGGAGTGTTAAATGAGGTATAGGGTCTTATGTTATTTCACACAGTGCTTGGCCTAGAGTAGGGGTTCAACACCAGGTAGCTTGTTATCAATAACAAACAAGAATAAGAAAAAGGAGGCTCTCTGCTTTCTCTGATTTAATCACTGCATTGGCCCCCTGGATTTTCAGCTGAATCCTCGCTTCATCACACGGCACTCCCTGACTCCATTGGTCTGTCACTGACCCAGGCTTCAATGGGCAAGCTGTGTCCCCAGTGACCCCTGCTGACCCGCCCCATCTGCTGACTCATATTCCTCTGCCCAGAACCCCTACTCCCTTCGAGGACTCTGTCCTCCTCCCCTTGGGGGACACCCGAAACCCCGCCCCTCGCCCACCGACGTAGAGGACTCCCTCCTTGGTCTTCTCTGCTGCTTCGGTGACCCCCTGCTTGGTTTTCTCGGCTGCGGCCACGACGCCCTCCTTGGCCATGGACAGGCCCTTCATGAACACGTCCATCCTGGCGGCCTGGGGAAGACGAACACACAGGAACCGGTGCTCTGGCTCCGCATCCTCACTCCAGCCCCTCCCAAGGGACGCAGGTGTCCCCCTCCTCTCCCTCCCTGAGACCAGGGCGCCCTTCTGGTCCCGTATCCTCTCCCACTTCGTCCCAGTCCCCCGTGCGAGGCCTCAGGGCCTCGGTGAGTCCTAGCGTCCTTGAAACCCGGGGACGCGGGAGGGGCCACCGCCTCGGTTATCCGGAGCCCTGCAAGCTGCAGCCCCGCGGAACCGGGATGCTGCGCTCGGCGGCGCGAAGACTCGGGACCTGCCTATACACACAAGACAGTGAGTGACACGGTCACATGCACACACACATACCACGGACACGCTCACGTGCACATTCAGGACATGTAGATGCTCAAACGCGCACGGACCCCCCCGCACACACGGTCGCGGATGCATGTCCACACGGCCACCCAGACAGTTTCAGAGAAGACCCGTCCCCTAGGGTACGTCCACACCAGCCCACTGGTGACCGCCGCACGATCTCCATTTTCCACCCCGTTCCCCATCTCCAGCCCCAGTGAAGAGTCCATCCTTCCTCATCCCACCCGAGGCTCCTCTCCATTCCCGTTCCACTCCCCGGCGCGCGGCCGCCTCACCTGGTTGCGGGGCCCGGGCTGGGGTTGGAGCGGCGGCTGCGGCGGCTGCTGCTAGCAGACGCGGGGGCTCGGCTAGGCCGGGCTGGGGTGGGCTCGGGGCCAGTGGGGGTTCTGGCCGTGATCAGGAGCTACAGTCACGGACCCTGAGCAGGGGCGCAGCGGTGCCCGGGTCTTGGGTGCGTTGCCACCACGGGTGCTCCTAGCGCCCTGCTAGCTCGCGCGCTCCGGCTCCGGCGCTGCGGCAGCTCTGAGCTCAGCGCCCCCCACCGGCGGCCGCGCCGCCCCCTCGGTCTGACTGACAGGGGGCGGGGAGGGTGACATCTCCGCGGAGCCAACGAGCCTCCAGGGACCGGCCTCTGACGCGCCGCTGGGGAACCAGGGTCGTGAGATTCGTGTAGTGTTTTAGGGGTGAGGGAGGAGGGACAATGCGGCGTGCTAAGAGTAGGGAAGAAATAATGCGGTTGGCTTTGAGGTGCAACTGGGTGTTGATTCTAGTTGTGCTTGTTATTTAGCAATGGGATCTTGGGCTGCTTAGTTTTTTTTTCTGTAAAATACGGTGGTTAATTCAAAGTATGCTTATTGAGCACTGAGGCAGGGGTGCAGGTTCGAGGGTGGCCACAGGAGGAAAGGAAAACATGATCCCCTCTGTATGTATACGTGCTTGCACAGATGGGAGGCAGAATGGAAAATAGATGCTTCTGCATCAACTCTTAAACCAAACAAAATCATTTCACAGCTTGTGAGACGTGTTACGAAAATAATAAAATAGTGGCCTAACAGAGTGACCAGAGGAGGAGTGCTTGAGACAGAGTCGTCAGGGAAAGCCTCTGCAAGAAGTTGCATTAGAGCAGAGACCTCAGAGAAACAGCCAGGCCAAAGTGGGTGAAGGCAAGATCTATAGAGAGGGAACTGCAAGTGCAAAGGCACTGAGGTAAGACCTGCTTTGGAACAGTTAAAAGGCAAAGCAGCCCAGGAAAACCAGAACGGAGAATGAGAACGTTAAGATTGCTTTTTATGGTGGGGATTGTAAAAGTGGTCATAGAATGCCACAGTAGTCCTCAGTCAGTGCAATGATAGAATTATTTCTAAGAAAATATAGGACTCTCAAGGAAAGGGACTCTGACAGTTTAGGGGGTTCAGGAAAGGCAGCAAAGAGGAGGCAATATATGAGTTGGGACCCTAAAGATGAGAAGACAAGGAAGGAAGGGAATTCTAGGCTATGAATATGACATGGCCAAACATACTGTGGCCAGAAATGCAGGGTATATAAGAGGCAGATGATGAGGTTTGGGGGTGGGGATGTTCACAGGACTCTGGTAGGACTGCAAGTTGGCACAGGGTTTTGGAAGACAATTTGGCAATGTTTACCCAAAGCATAAGTGCATGTTCCTTTTGAGCCAATAGCTCCCCTTCCAGGAATTTATCCTGTGGATCTCTACTCACAAAGTGCACACAGATTTTTGTGCAGGGATGTTCACAGTTTATTGTAGCAAAAGAAAAAAAACTGAAAAGAATATAAGTGCCCATCTGTAGAGGACTGGCTATTTAATTGGGGTTCAATCACCCAGTGAGATGCTATGCTATGGTTAGAAAGGATGAGCTAGACCCATGTGTATTGATATGGGAATGTGTCAAAATATGGTGTTAGGTGAGAGAAGCAGGATGCTAAACAGGTGTTGAAGAAGCCAAATAAAAATATAATTTTCTACGTCTCAGAATATAATCATATATTAATATATAAGTATATATTGGTATATACACATATACTTATCCCATACTATACATTATACACAGGCACCGTATATGCACATACATACATATAGTTGACCCACTGTGTCCAGAGATTTCCCATTTCAGATTCAAACAATTATGGAATGGGGAACTGGGGTTGTGGCTCAGTGGTAGAGCACTTGCCTAGCACATGTGAGGCACTGGGTTGTATCCTCAGCACCACATAAAAATAAATAAAATAAAGGTATTGTGTCCACCTACAACTAAAAAAAATTAAAAAAAATATGGAACAAAAATGATTAGTAAAAAATTGCACCTGTATTAAACACAACGGACATTTTTCTTGTCATTATTCCCTAAACAATACAGTGTGACCACGATTTATGTAGCATTTACATTGTACTGGGTGTTATGAGTAATCTGGTGATGATTTAGAGAGCATGGGAGGATAGTGTAGGTTATATGCAAGTGCTTTGTCATTTTATAGGTTTTGAGCATCTGCTGATTTTGGTATCTACAGAGGGTCCTGGAACCAATCGCCTGCTCAGACCCCCCGACACACACGGGTGCAGACGCATGTCCACACCGCCACCCAGACGGTTTCAGAGAAGAAGACCTGTCCCCCAGGGTACGTCACACCAGCCCACCAGTGCCCCCCTCACTGCCGCACGATCTCCATTCTCCACTCCCTTCCCCATCTCCAGCCCCAGTGAAGAGTCCATCCTTCCTCATCCCACCCGAGGCTCTGAAGAACTAATCTGCAAAGTCTTCCAAAAAAAAAAAAAAAAAAAAACTGCAAACAGTAGTTGCCTCTGGGAAGTGTGACTGAGAGGGCTCGAGGAGGGGAACTTTTAAATTTTACCACCTTTCATCTTTGGGCTGTTTTATTCTTTTGCCTTGGAGAGTATTTACCTGTATGATTTTTAAAACTGGCGTGGCAGAAAGCTGGAGTTATTTTTGGCTTTAAGGGAAATTGGATTTTTTCACTTCCGATGTTTGGGGGTGCCCTACCTTAGGAAGCAGGGACTACTTCCCCCTCTGAGGACTGACAATGCCAGATACCTGCTTTCCCAGTCTTCCCTTAGCCCAGACACATGGCTGACATGCAGCCTTCGACCTATCACCCTGGATGGAACCTGAGGCTGGTGCCAGGAGGAAGCACAGAAATTGGCCAGTCTATTCTGATGAGAGGAGGTGGTGTTGGTGGTAGCAGCTTCTGCTGGGAACCATGGGAATCAGTGACAACTGGCTCCCCAAATTCCTGAAGCTTTAACCGTTGGTTCCTTGAGCCAGACCAAGCCAAATTATTAGAGTACTGCATCTGGAGTCATATTGGCAGAGAGGTGGGAGCTGTCGCCATGGGAGGCATGGCGATTGTTGGGGGTCTATGGAAAGTGAAAAGAGGAGAGGCCCCCACACAACAGAACCCTGTGGCACTGCAGCCCTAAGGGTGGCCAGAGGCAGAGGAAGCTGGGAAGAGACTGAGAAGTGCAGTGACGCAGGCAGAAGAAGTAAAGAGTGACAGCTCAGAGCCTAGGATCTGGAGGTCAGCAGAGAGGACTAAGGAGATGATTCAGCTTTGGATTGACAGCAGGTGGGCTGCTGGGGAGCTTAACAGCAGCACAGGGAGTTACAGAGTCCACAGAGGGAAGGGACACCAAGGGAAAGCCTCCAGGAGAGAGTGACATTCAACGCTGGGATTTGAAAGAGAAGGATCTTACAAGTGGTGCAGAGAGTTCCCAGCGGAGGATCTGGGGAAGTCCAGAGGGCGGAGGGAACGAGAAGAGGTTAGATTCCAAATCGGGTAGGAAGTTTGGTTGCTGGTGCAGAAGCTTAAACAAGGCAGACAGGCATTCCTTCACTTAAAAAAGCCCAGGGGTAGGCAGTCCACAATGATGTGGCGGCTTCACAGTCATAGGAACCCAGGCTCCTTCTACCCTTCTGATGCAGCCTTATTATGTGAATTTCATCCTCAAGGTCACTTCATGGTTGCTGTGGCTCCGAAATCATCAGCATGACTGTGTGGAAAGCAGGAAGAAGGGAAGATGGATACAAATGAGTATTTCCTGAGGAGTTTTCTCAAGTCAACAACTTCTACTTCTGTCCCCTGGCTAACCGGAGCTGCAGGGAGGCCAGAAGAGGGTGGCCGTTTAGCTGGGCACATGACTTCCAAGAATATAATTGTGAAAAAGGGAGAATGTCTACAGTGAACCACTAGCATCTCTGCCACTGTCTCTTTTTCCCTTATTTTTGGAAATTTCAAACCTAGAGAAACATTGAAGGAATAGTAAATAAAACCTATAGAAAAGTTGCGCCACGAGTATAATAACTACCCCAAATATACTTTGCCTAGATTCACCAATTGTTAACGTTTGCCACCTTTTTCTATCTCTTCATATGTACAGTCCCAAGAAGGGGTCCTGGATACTGCGTTGTCACTTTCTAGCACGACAGATTCCCCATGCCACACATCATTAGGGCACCGGATGGCAAAGGTCAGTCTTCCGGGCCTCTCTTGGTCAGGCCCTTTGCTTGTGAGTTCTCAAGGACGTCTCATTGTTCCTGTTCTCTCTCTCCCTGGAAAATGGCCCTGTGCATCCTTCTCTTTCCTCTCTCCTTCCTGAGGGTGTTCTAAGGAGAATGACTATTGAAGCTTTGGGAGGCAAGAAGAGGGGCAGGATGTGGGGAAGGGCTTGGGAGAAAATCCCAGCTGGAAGAGCAGGAGCAGAGAGCTCTCAGAAGAGAATCGCAGGGATCCTGGCCCTGCCTGGCTTCTGTCAACTGTCTGTGCCTTTGTGACTCTGTGTATGGTGCTTGACTGTGGGATTAAAAATGTATCAACATTCCTGCTGTCCAGAGACCTCAGGATGGGCAGGAAGACGGCAGGCAGGCAGGCTGGCACCCTGCAGGGTAGGAAGGATGGGAAGCTGAGAACAGGGAGGAGCATGGATGATGTTTATTGAGCATCTACTGTGTGCCAGGTGCTCCATCCGTGACATCAGTAAGCACTGAAAGCAATCCTTCCAAGCAGGCATGGTCATCTCCATTTTACAGATGGGGGAACTGACATGCAGAGTGGGGAGGCCACTGGCATTTGTTCTTTTCAATCAGTTTTTCCTGAGTGCCCACAAGGTGGGCACTGGTATAGGAAAGTCAGCAGGAAAAAACAAACAAACAAAAAAACAATGAAGTCCTTTCTCTTCTGGAACTTAACCTTGTATTAGAATGGACAGATAATTAACAAATGAATTAGAACCACATGAGACCATTGGGAGCTAGGCACAGTGGCACATGCCAGTAATCCCAGGTACCAGAGAGACTGAGGTAGGAGGGTTGCAAGTTCAAGGTCAGCCTGGGGAACTCAGCAAAACTCTGTCTCAAAATAAATGTTGAAAAAAAGGCTGGGGGAGTAGCTGGGGGGTGCTGGGGTTGTGGCTCAGTGGTAGTGTGCTCACCTAGCTTGTGTGAGGCACTGGGTTCAATCCTCTGCATCACATAAAAATAAAAAATGAAGATATTGTGTCCACCTAAAACTAAAAAATAAATATTTTTTAAAAAGAAAAAAGGCTGGGGATATAGATCAGTGATAGAGCACTCCAGGGTTCAATCTCTAGTGCTGTAAAATAAAACATTTGGATTGTGTAGCTATTGCCAAAGTCCACAGTGATGTTCCTCTTGCTAAATCTTTATTTTAATACCTTTATTTTATTTTTTTTTTATGTGGTGCCCAGTACCTTGCACGTGCTAGGTGAGCGCTCTACTGCTGAGCCACAACCCCAGCCCTCATCTTGCTAAATCTAATGGTCACCTCTCCTTCCTCTCCTGAAGTGAAGAAGAGAAGTGCTGGAGTGGGTTAACCACACGGGCAGGGAAGGCCCCACCTGAGCCAGGTTAGGCAGACAGGGAGCAGCCAATGAGAAGTCCTGGGGCAGCAGTGGGCCTGGCCAATTGAGGATCTGCACACTTGAAGGCCAGTGTGAGTGTGGCAGAACGAGGGAGGGGGACAGTAGGGGAGGTGGGTCTGAGAGAAGATGGGACTGGTGGTGAACGGAGGAGACAGGATGCTCAGGAGCCTGTGTGTGAGGCTGAGTCATGCAGGCCCTGGATGTGCACTTTGAATTACATCTTGGGTGTCCTGGAAGGTTTGAGACAGAGAAGTGATCAGATTAGTAATTTAGATGACCCTGAGACGCTCACAGAATGTTCTGTAGGGGACAGGAATGGAAACAAGGAGAGTGAGAGAGGGACTGAGACAGAGGCCAAGGCCAGGGACGCTGAGGCTTCTCTGGGATGAGGACAAGAGGGAGGGAGAGGAATGGGCAGAGTGGAGATGTTTTCAGAACCAAATGGCAGGATTGGGATTCAAGAGTCCCTGCTTGCTCAATTCCACCGGGAAGGTGTTCCTGTTCCCTACAGACAGGCCAGGGTGGACCTGGGGAGGGACCAGGACCCCAGCACCCAGGAACTTGCCTTTAGGGTCTCTCCTTAGTCACCCCAATCCCAGACTCCAGGGGCTGCCCCAGGCTGGAAGATATAGAAGCTGGAGGGAAAGGGCGCTGTGGCTGGGAGGGTCTTTCCAAGCCAGGCATGGGGCCAGGACTCTAAGGCGACTGAGATGATGCCTCAAGCCTGGCCTCTTCCAGGACTGCTTCTGCCTGAACTTCTTCACCACTCCTCCCCCTGAAGTGGGATCTGTCCCCTGCCTTGAATTTGGGCCCTCTGACTTTAGTACAATACAATGGAACTGATGACGAGCCAGGTTTTATTTTAAGCCCTGGCCTTAAGACACTGGCAGCGTCTACATTCAGTCTCTTGGGACACTCACCCTGGGAACCCAGTCACCACGCTGGAGGAAGCCAAGCACCATGTGGAGAAGCCTTGCAGAGCTGTCCCAGCTGACATCTCCAGCTGAGGTTCCAGCTGACAGCGTCAACTGCCCCATGTGTGAGTGACCAGTTGACTGCAGCCTCAATGAGTGAGCCAGCCCAGCTGGTCTCAATTCAGAGCAGAGCATGCTATCTTTCCTTGGTGCTCCCCAAATTTCAGATTTGTGAGCATAATAAATGATGCTTGTTGTTTTAGGCCACTGAGTTTGGGGCATGCTGTGCTTCCAGAGCCATCTGTCACCAAGTATCACTGAGTTTTCCTTTTCAATCTCCCCTCCATATTCTCTGTCACCTGGACAACTGCATTAGTATACTGACTGATGTCCTCCTGCTCACATTTTTTTTTTTTTTTGTACTGGGGATTGAACCCAGGGGCACTTAACCCCTGAGCCACATCCCCAGGCCTTTTTATATTTTATTTAAAGACAGGATCTCACTGAGTTGCTTACGGCCTCACTAAGTTTCTGAGGCTGACTTTGAACTTGAAATCCTCCTGTCTCAGCCTCCTGAGCTGCTGGGATTACAGGTGTGCACCACTGCTGAGCTCTCCTGCTCACTCTTGCAGCCACAGGACCCTACATGGAAGTTCAGAGAACTTGCTGAAATGCACATGTGGTCGCGTGCCCAGCCCTGCTGCAACCACTTGAAGCACTCGGTGGCTCTGTACTGATCCTGGCATCAAGACTTTCTCATTTCTTTCCTCCTTTAGGCTTCAGCCACACTGGCCTTTCTTCTCTTCCTCCAGCACCTCATGCTCCCTTTGCCCCAGGGCATTTGCATGTCCAATACAGTTTGTACTCCCTGAAATGCCCTCCCTTGTCCATGTCAAAACCTCTTGCTCATGCTTTAGGTCTCAGCTCAGTGTACAAATTGCCTCTAAGCCAGTGATTTTCAAAATGGGGTCCTTGTCTAGCATAATCAAGGGACTGGTTAGAAAAGAAAATTCTCAGGCTCAAGCCCATGCCTAAGGAGTCAGAAATTTCTGGGGCAGAGCCCAGCAGTCTCTCTTTAACAAGCCCCGCAGGTGAATCTGATCCCTGCACTCCAGAATCGCTGCTCCAAAGCAGTTGAGGTTATGGAGTTTGTTACCTTCTCTCATCCCCGAGTTCCTGCTCTTCAGAGGGCTGTGCTTGTAAGCACTCAGGTGGTTGTAAGATGGTCTAATGAGTGCCCCATGTTCTCCAGCAGCCCTGAGCCCCCCGCCCTTTTGCAGTGCTGGGGATGGGGATGGAATCCAAGGGGGCCTGAAGCATGCTAGGAGAGTACCCCACCTCTCAGCTCCACCCCAGGCTCTCATGTTTTGCTCATTTCATCCTGGCACCTAAGTGAGCGCCTGGTACATCCCAGGGAATGGCTGAGGATGCAGATAGAATAACAGTGGACTATCAGCCTCCAGGGGGTCATGTGCTGAAGAAAGGTGTTGTTTAGAAAGCCAGGAAGGGGTGTCCTGAGCCAGAGTGTCCCCCATTTTCCTTCCCCTTCCTCATGCCTCCCTGACCTGGGGTAAACCTCAGCTGACTTCTGTTGAGCACAGAACCAGACCTTGTTCTATGGGCTCAGTATGATTAAAGTCACACAAGCTTCGGGTGGTGTATTGATATTTCCATTCTACAGATGGGGAAACTGTGACTCAATGAGATTCAGTAATTTGGCCAAGGTCAGGGCAGGACTTGACCCCAGGGATGTGACTGGCTCTCTGCCTCACCCTCAATGTCCAGCTGGACAACACTCAGAGCAGGATGCAATGCGGGACTCCATGGAACTTCATGTGCCCTTCCACAGGACAGCCCCACAGCGGATAGTGGATCATCAAGACAGAGGGCCTAGTGGTGCTAGACCTTCCCAAGTTTACAAGAGAAGGCAAAAGTGTGGATTTTAACATAAAATCTTTTTGTTTCTAAATGTTAGACAATTATTACATTAAAAAAAAAAAAAACTCAGATGCTTTCAGAGACCAGATAAATATCTTGTCACTCAATGCCTTGGATGACATGAGGTGGCTGAATTGAGAGTGTGAATGGTACCCGGAGACCCCCATGCTTTTGTCAGTGTGGCTGCTTCTGTCATCTGTGGGGCAGACTGCTTTAAATTCAGGGGTCACCCTCAGCAGGATGCAGACCCCAATTTTCCTAAGGACAGATCCCAAATATTGATCCTTACCTTCATTTTTCAGCCCCCACTGTGAGAGGCTGGGTCAGCCTGGTCACAGGTGTGTCTCAACTCCCCACCTGCAAGCTGAAGTGCTCACTCACTAAATGCTTGTTGATGGGAGGATTCTGATTAGCTTCCCACCTCCCCGCATGCTGGCTCCTCCCACAGGCATGCAAGCTCCTCTTCCTCCCCTGCTGCAGGAGGGTGGGGCTAGGGCTGATAGGTTAAAAGCCAGCATCTGGGGACCCCTTAATGCTGGGTGCCCCGTGGAGCTTGAGCCTTAGCATGGCTGCCTCCAGCTCTGTAAGTCCACCCGCTGCCCTTTCTGGAGCAGGGGCCCAGCTGGGGTGATGGATATAGGAGTGGGCTGCAGACAGAGTCAGGGGCTCCCAGGTGACCCTGTCTCTTCTTTGGTCAGGCAAGTGAAGCCGAGGGTGGACTCCAAACCTTGGAGAAGAAGAAAGAGGAGGAGGAGGAGGAAGAGGAGAAGGAGGTGGCAGAGTCAGTGTGCCTGTGGGAGCAAGAGCAAGAGGAGGCAGCTGTGGCGGCATGCTTTGGAGACGATGCTCCAAACTTTCTTGGGACTGGGACTTTGCTCTCTCTGAGGACGAAAGCTCAGGACAAGGGGCCCGTGGAGAACAAACTAGAGTTGCACCCCCTGCAGAACAGGTAAGGAGGAGAGTGAAGAACTGGACTGGACCCCTGTGGCTGGGCCATCCTCTGTGCTCCCTGGTCGTGTGGCCTCGGACTACCCCTTCTGCTCTGGACTCAGTTCCACATCTGTGAAATGTCTGCGCTGGCCTAAGCACTGGGCCTGTGGACTCTTCCAGCGTTACCCAGCTGAGATTCTGGGCTTAAAACTTCACTCCTTGCTCAACCTTTCAGGATAACTAACTCTAGTCACCATGTGGGGAGTGTATGGGGGGGTGTGCTCCCAAATCTCCTATTTTGTCCTTAAAGCGCAGGGACCTACCTCCCTGTTAGCCCAGGTGCTGCTGGGGGTAGACATGGGGGTGTTTCTGCTTCCTCTCCCCTATCAGGTGGGCTCTATGGTTCTTCAAGAATGACCGTAGCAGGGCTTGGCAAGATAATCTGCATATGGTCACCAAGGTTGACACCGTGGAGGATTTCTGGGCGTGAGTGTGTGTCCCTTGGGGCCAGGCCAGGGGATTCTGAGCTAGGAGTTGCTTGTCACACATCCGTGACACCATCTCTGGGGCCTTTCAGCATTTGTTGAGGGATGGGGGAGGGTGTTCCTTTCCAGGAGGCATTGGGATTGGGCCACAGCCACCCCCTTGAAGCTTCTGAGGGCTTAGGGAGAGAGCTTAGGGAGTGGGAGAAGCCAGGAGCAGCCCATGCTGCCATTTCATGGCTTTGTGACCTGTGACCCTGGGCAAGTTCCTTCTCTCTGAACTTAGCCACACAGCGAGGATCAGGTTGCCTCAGAGTGTCTGGGGGCGATCAAGGGAGGTTATTTGAGAAGCGTAGCATAAACCCTAGGGGGGCCTTCACTGGAGGGGTGCACCAGGAGTCTCCCCAGGGTGCAGTCTTCACTGGACTTGGATGGTTGGGGAAGCTCCAGGGGGAAGGTGGGCTTTGAGGGAATTCCAAGCAGCAGGAACAGAGTGAGCACAAGCAGGAAGGCCCCAAGGTGGTGGGAATCAGTGGATCCCACAAGGAGTTGAGAGGGTTGGGGATCAGCTGGAACCCAGCCTAACAAACTTGACTTTCAGCATGGGGTGGGGGCTCTCTCCAGGATGTACAGTCATATCAAGCTGGCTAGTAAGCTCTCTTCTGGCTGTGACTACGCCATGTTCAAGGTGAGTTCTGTTCTCATGCCCTCCTTCCCCCCAAAAGGACAAGGGTTGGATTCTTCCCAGCTTCTGCAGCCATCCTCCCTCCAAGGAGAGGTTTTGGGGTGGAGGGAGCCGTAAACAGTCTTTTTCAGGGCAGAGGTGTGATTTCCGATTGGAGGGGCTGCTCTACAGAAGCCCACACAAAGCATGTCAGGCCTGAGCTGCACCTTGGAGAACACCCGAGTCTGGAAGGGCAGGGGGAGAGGGAAGAGTCCAGCTTTCTTGCTTGGCTTCTGAACACTCTCCTCCAGCCCTACCCTGGAGGTGCTGACATAGGCGTTTACAGATTTCCCCCGGTGACTTCTGCCCAGTGAGGTTTGGTGATGTCCATCACTGCCCACAGAAACGTCTGCCCCAGAGGCCCCCTGTAGTGCTTCTGTTTGAACTCTTGTCTTAAGGAACCTGAATCAGTAAAGGATTTGCATGCACACATAGACAAGGCTATGAACAGTGACAAATTGGGTCAGGGTCCTGTGGGGCTCCAGAGGGGTCTCTCTGGTGGGCTGAGTGGCACCTGGTGGTGTAGAATGGAAGTTAGGAGAAAAGTTGGCCTATTTAGGGCCTGAGCAGAGGGCAGAGAAGGCAGCACGCAGAGGCAGCTGGGTCCCGCTTCCCTTTGAAGGAAGGGAGGTAGTTGACCTGCCGTCCGACTTCCAGGATGGCATCAAGCCCATGTGGGAAGACAGCAGGAATAAGCACGGTGGCCGCTGGCTGGTCAGTCTCTCCAAGCAGCAGCGCCACATTGATCTGGATCGTCTGTGGCTGGAGACAGTGAGTGGTGGTGGCGGTGGGGGAAGGGTTCAGGGGAAGTGGTCTCAAGGGTGGTAGGGGCTGTCCCTGTGCCCACCTGGAAAGCTCACCATCCCCACTTTGGGCCCAGTTGCTGTGTCTGATTGGGGAGAGCTTTGAGGAACACAGCACCGAGGTGTGTGGGGCTGTCATCAACATCCGTACCAAGGGTGACAAGATTGCTATGTGGACGAGGGAGGCTGAGAACGAGGCCAGCGTCTTGCACATTGGGTGAGGGCTGGGTCCAGGGATGACATAGGGGTGGGGGGCTGGCTTGCAAGTGAGACCTCTGGAACTCGCAGTGCCTTCTCTCCATTCTTTTTTACCCACCAGTATAAAAGGAATGGGAATCTTCTGACGACTCATGTCTCCTTTGCTCTGTCTCTCTCTGCCCAGGCATGTATACAAAGAGCGCTTGGGTCTTTCCATGAAGACCATCATTGGGTACCAGGCCCATGTAGATGCGGCCACCAAGAGCAACTCCCTTGCCAAGAACAAGTTTATGGTGTGAGGGGGGTCTTGGCACCACTCTCAGTCATGTGGGGCCATCACCTCATAAGCCTCATCACTGTGGTGTATGCAGGACTACACCATTGATCCTGGGCTGGAGGAGGGGGCAGACAGCCTGATTTTTACATATTCTGGAGTGCATATGAACACTTTTTCTTTTATTTTTTTGAGATGAGACCTTTCTATGTTGCCTAGCTTAGCCTCAAACTCCTGGGTTCAAACAATCCTCCCACTTCAGCCTCCCCAGTAGCTGGGACTACTGGTGCTTACACCATGCTTGGGTTCATACAAATACTCTAACAGGTATTAGGCCCAGGCCCAGGGGCAGCTAGGTGGAAAAGTTTGAGTCCTTCCTTTTGCCTGGGAACATCGCAGAAGCAAGGTGCAAGAATCTCTTGGGTTTCCTTCTTTTACCTGGGGGTGGGATATGGGGTGGTCTTGGTAGGGGGCTTGATGACAAGATGACAGGGGAATTCTATGGTCCAGTACTTAATCTGTGCCCACTGGGAAGGGTGCTAGGTGGCCTGAGGGGGCAGCCTTTTCCATTTTGATGGAGGGGCTGGAGACCACTGATATGCTGAGAGTGGGAGTTCAGAGATGGGGTGTCTCCTCTTTGTGACCACTCTCACTGGATCTGTCAGTGCCCTTCCTGTATCCTGTCCCTTCCCTAGATCACCTGTGCTTGGGTCCCTGGAGTGGGGCAGCCCTTCCTGCCCCCCCACTTCAAGTGTTGGAAGGCTGGAGGGAGAACCCAGCTATTTG